GGGCATAGCCAAAGGAAAAGAAGATATATACACGTAAACTACATGTTGCAGTTTCTATGTTCTGAACTCTGTAATTTAGTGTTCATTTTTGCCCAAATACATTTATAGATATTGCTAATATATAGTATGGTTTTGGTAAAAGCAATACAGTTTTCAGCACTATTTCTCAAGTTAGTACATGCCTTTAGCACTTAACTTTTTCCTCTGGTTTTAACACAAAAAGTATCAGACAAAAAGTGTCAAAAGGAGTATGTCATAATGGTTTTCTTTTCTGCAAGTACAGTATTGAATTGTCCTGTGTAAACTCACCCCCGGTTTTTGAGAATGGAACAGCCAGATTAAGAGTTTTCTATGGAGCTCAAAGTAGATTATTATGCAAATTAGAAATGCAAATTTGAGTGTGCTCCACTGATTCAGATGGGGAGTGCAATGTGGATGTATGTATTGCAGGGCAGACACACCCAAGCTTTCTGTGTGAATAGACATGCATGTACATACTGTGTGTGACAGCTAATGCTTATAAAACACAGTGCATTTCAGATGTTCGTCTTTCAAGAATGATACATGTAGTTGCCAGTTGGAAAACTGTAAGGGTAACCTTATTTTTATTTTCAAATTATCTACACTATTCTATAAGCAAGTAGTTTGGAGTATTTTTGTGTGTCTTACTGTGCCAGATATTAGCAAGAGATGTAAAATTAAGCATGGTTTATACGCATCTTATGATAACCATCCCCAAGAAATTATGATAGAGGCAGAGTTACTGTTTCCATGTTCTTTAAAGAATTTGTACATAGAATGTTTTTTTTTTTTCTCTATTTAACCAAAGGGCTACCCGGTAGGGCCAGCATAGTGGTAGCCACTTGGCCCCGCCCATAGGGAATATTGCCCGTTGGGCCTTCGAAATGTACATGTATGCCAAGGCTTTTGGGGGACAATCTGATAAGGAGCCTGTCTGCTCTGGGCGGATGCCTCGTTCTGTGTGAACGCCATGCTTGGGTAGGTTTCTCTCTTTCTGTGTGAACGCCATGCTTGGGCGGATGCCTCGTTCTGTGTGAACGCCATGCTTGGGTAGGACGCCTCGTTCAGTGTAAACGCCATGCTTTGATGGACCCCTTGTTCTGTGTGAACGCCCGCTCTGTGTGGAACCTCGTTCTTTTGTATGAACACCAGACTCTGGCTGGATCCTCGTTCTCTGTAAATGCCCCGCACTGTGTGGACCCCCCCATTCTGTTGGAACGCCCAGGTATGTGTGGACCCTTATTCTCTGTGATCAGCCTGAGACTGGGAACAACCCCAACTCTTGGAGGACTCTGGCGCTGAGTGATTGTTCATTGCCGAGGGCACCCTTTCTAGAAGGCCAGCAACATTTATCACCTGGGGAGAAGTATAGAGTGTCGGCTGGACCATTGTTATAGCTGATATCTGTTGAATGACGTTTATGTAAATTTAAGATCGGAGGTAATTGTAAATATATTCATGTATCACCTTTTGAATTGAATTAAATTATTATATTTTGTTATTGTATTTGCAAACTTTGGGTATGGGTTTGTGGCTAGACTTGTCCTTGTCGTGTGGCACCCTAGTTTCAACTATTCACTGTGACATCACACACGGGAAGCACAGACTCGTGATGTGACAGTACTTTTGCTGTAAGTGGTTTCTCAAAAAATGAGGGTATGTTTGAAAGATACCAAATAAGTGAAATACAGATTAAAGTTAATTTTAGAACATAAATTTCTTCTACAAACCTTTATTATAAAATTATGTAAAAAAAATAAACGTTGTCCAGTAGAACCATACATCTTCATTTTAATGACTGTTTTCCTTAAACAGCAGCAAGTTTTCTGCAATTTACCTGTTTTTTCATGCAAGTGTTTGTTTTTTTTTAATTTAGCCAAGTTAACATATACAAATATCACCTAATGTCTCTGCTGAAACTGTTAATTCATGTGATAACTGTAACTATGATAACTGTAACTAAGGGACAGAGGAAAGTATGTAAAAATCTACACACACACATATATACATGTCTATATACTTTTTGGTGATCTTTAAAGTGTGCCTGGTCTTCAAATTTTATTTTCACTGACATGATGTCGAAATTCTCCCTGTAATTTGTCAAGGTAGTTTTGGTTATTTTATCTTACTCGTAGTCACCACTTTGCTTAGAAAATGGTCGGCGTAATTATTTTCATATTTGACAAACGTGTTAGTGAAAACACACAACATTAAAGGTTTACGTTTTAATCTTCAATTATATATACTTCATTGCAAATGTTGGCTCTTTGGAAGGGATAAACCTCATGACATGAACGGTATGTGTGACAACCGGGTTGCATAATTGTGTGAACATCTTGTACACCTTTCACAATAACCATTTTTACAATTCTTCAGGAATTTTTCAAGACCTTTGTAAACTGCTCGGTAACGTTGAAGCATATATTTGTTCAAATCTTGTCCATTTTTTATCATAAACAATATCCAGTTAATTAGAGTTTATAAATAATTCCCTACACTAATTACTTGCAGCATTGAGGATTGAAGGGAAAATTGCCCCAAACCTTACATAATTATAAAATACAAAAAAATGCTTTGCTTATAATTTTCCAGTTTTACTCGTTTGTATTTTTACAGAACTGTTGAAACAATAAGGAGAATTTACTTGATATCTCGCTTCCTTTTTGTTTATTGTCTCAGTTATCCCGTTGAAATAGAATCCTACTTTCCCACTAAATGCACCATCAACCAATCAAAATATTGTGAATTCATTTATAAGGGTTTTGAAAATTGAAATCAGATATCCGTTAACCACATATTTGCTGCAAGAAAATAATCAGTTAAACATCAAGGTAATTTGTGGTAAGGAGTTATGTTTACTGGTACATCGTATCAATCTGTTATAAGCCACTATTAACACGAGTGGTCTACAAGTCCATCTCATCCAGCATCATTCTTCTGAGGCTTCTGTACAGGTTTGGTCCCTCTTCAACAGTAACAGGCACATACATATTACCCTCTTCCATCAGGATTGCACAAAGCTCGAACACGGATTCATTGCAAGGTTATCGGCCTTTGTAGACGCTCTCACTGCTGCATACATCAATTTCACCTTGAGGCACCTCTACCAGGACGTTATTTTCTCCGAAGATCTGTGGCATAGTATGCATTAGCAGGGGGCGTCCAAATGGGCCATGGCAATTTCTTGAGGGGGTTATACAATGGCATTCCACTCCTTTACATCAGTGTCCAGTTCTCCCTAAAGTTTGTGATATTTAAATAGAAGTCTTTTAATAACATAATATTCATGAACTTTGTACACCAGCCTGAAAACTGTGCACGAATCACACTTTCCAAGACCACTTCATCTGGAACTCACCTGGGTCATATTCAGAAAGGGAAACTGCAGCAGTGATTTGTCTAGAAGATCTCCATTGAAATGGCCTTCATCTTTCAGTTGGCAGAAGATGTCTTTACAAAACTGAGTGAAGTGTTTTCTGAGCGTGCCCCACCAACACTCGATCTTTTGGTTATTTTGACTTGTTCCCTGCATGAAACTCTTCTCTTTAGCAAATGAATCATCATGATCCCTTCTAAGAAACTGCTCCATCTGTCGGATGTGTTTTCAGTTCCAAGATCAGCTTATATGATTCTTGGGCATCCCATGGCAGAGCGTACCGTGTTCACGTAATATCCCACAATGACAGCAAGGTCACTGCTGGTTGTATATGCTTCGAGCCACAAAACACGCCTCGAGAAACCATCAATACATCCAAAGCCTGAACACGTGGGAGTTGTAATTTTTAAATAAATGAAGTATGGGAATTTATTTACTGTGGTGCTCCCAGTAAAACATCAGTGGATTCGTCTACACACGTGGTCAGCTGTAAGTGCAGAAGTAGTGGTCAGCTAAGTGCAGCCTCATGACGAATTCACGCACTGAGCATGTTTACGTTTGCATGCTTTGTTCTCGACAGACCCTGCCTTTTTAAAAAACGACGGTGGACGGCACGTTTGAACTATGGAGCTAGTTGTTTCCGCTCTGTATAAATGAGTCAATGTCTCCGGAGCTACTTTTATGTTTTGGTTTGTATTAGATTAAGGGATTTGAACTCTATATTTTGATGTGTCAATTCAGTTTGGTTCAGTAAAAACGGACGTTTTGTAGAGGTTACGGATGTTGGAGTTTCTAGATTGGTTATTAATTAAACACCGTTCAAGACTCTTTCAAACTCGAAAGTTGCTCTGGAGACATGTCACAAATTGTTACAGAGCGGATTACAAAAATGGTGAAACGAAGAAAAGTTAAATCCACTTATAATTATAAACGACCCACATTTCAATGGAGGTCTGATTTTGCATTGGGACCTTGTAGTACGCAATTTGTCTTTTTGCTTAAGACAAATGCACACTAATCTGTCAACCTCCTATTTGACAATTCACAAAACACTACTTCAATTTGGTAGCACAGATATATGCAAAATTCAAATGACAATGGTGACTTGAATTTTGGACAATTGTACAAAGGGTCGACCAGTACCAGGGGTGAAACTGACCAGTGATAAAATACCTGAAAACAGTTGAAAAAGGTATAAAACAGCTGAACTGTGAAAATTATCCATAATTTTTACACAGCCAGTGAGGGAAGAAAAACTTTAATCCAAAACAAAAAAGCTGAAATCAGCTAACAAGCTGAGCAATCTCACCCCTGCAATACGTATCTGTGATGAATGCCAATACGCACTACAATTCTGCCAAGCCAAACTTGAATTAAACTGTGTGTGACATGTTCAGCAAACGGTTACCAAATCAAACGGGGTGACCCCCAATGTTAGTAAAGGACCTGAGCACCTGCAGATCTTGGTCACAAATCCATTTTTTGGACAAATGGGCTTGTAATATCGGAACAGAATAAGAGTTGTCCAACTGCTCCTACCTGAAGAAAATATCACAACACGATTAATTATAGCGTGAAACGTGAACGCCATGAAACTGTCAAGTCAGTTTGAATACTCAAACTTTATTCCCAACAGCAGGCAGCATATCTTATAACAAAAATACAAACTCAACACAAAATTGTGCAATTAAAATAATGTAAATATACACAATATACACACAATACCGAACGCATTAAACCTCTAGGCTCCAAAAAGAGTTCACAAATTCGTAAAAACTCAATGAACACACAGAACATGTATTTACGGATGGTAACCCTTTCCTTTTTTTTAAATCCATAGGGCAACTTCCCCAATACAACGTTGGAGAAATTGTTTTACATAGTTGTTGGAAGGCCCTGTGACATACGTGCTCTGTGATTCACTTCAATTTTGGAATGTATTTGCAAGAACCTCTCAATCCACGAAATAAGCACTCCCCAAATCACTTGGTTGCTGCTTGAAATTACATGAATGTACACAGAATCGGCCAAGCTTATAAGCACTCCATTATATCCTATTCAATGCAAAATTTGTTTGCAGTTAAGTAATAACAGGAAACGACACACCCTTAAGAACAATGCTGATTTTCTTTACAATATCCGGAAAAAATACCGCATGTAGCGAGGTAATTTCCTTTGGTTCTCAAAATCGTTAAGTTCAACCTCAACCGCCAAACAATTCATTTTCAAAGAGTTCAATACATTCAATTGTTTTTGGAAAATTGGAAAAGCAATATACATGTACATGTTTCTTGGACAGCGCAATCAATTTTTTTGGAAATTCTCTACAGAAAATTAGAATTGTGACATTTTCTAATAAACATTTCAATAATAAATTATTTAAATTTCGGAATCAAAAATAATGATGCATTCCATTGCACCAATGGACGGAACAAAGTACGGGATTGTGAATAAAATTATTTACGTACAGTTACGCTTTCCTTAAGTTTTCCTTAATATCAATCAAACACGCTTTCTGCACAGAACGTTTATCGCCCGGAGTTTCGTCCACCAAAATAACGTTTCGTTTTCAACATAGGAATTTGTATTTTCACATCAATTAGGTTTTCTGATGTTGAGAATTTTCCTCCAACCCTTTCGTATACCCTGACATGAATTCGAATGCCTTCTGTATGGTGTGCGAACTTTGTTGAGACATCCTCATTTCAATCTTTGGTGATATCGAGCAAGGGGCGTAACGAAGACATTACAAACCATTGTAAGTGAATCCAAACCCCAATCATAAGCCATCCCATGTGAATCACAAACCAATTGAAAGCAGTCAGTCTTGAGTCCAACAAGCGTTTTTCCCCGACACTTGTTGCATGACTTGTAGACTTCCTCTTGAAAGTATGTGACTAACTCCAACAACTGACAAGGTTACAACTAACGTTTCCCTTCTCAATCATCCAAAATTGAAACAGACTTAAAAAAAAAGATTTCATTGCCTTGCTTTGGAATGCAAAATAACACAAATTAATATTCGTAGTTCTTCTTTTGAATATTATCTAGTTTACAAATCTAATTCAAATAATATTCTTTTCAAACCTATTATCAACCTCACATAAAAGATTTTATTTCTACAGTTCGATTCCCAGGGAACAAACATTATTTGGGTACAATGGACGGATTCTATTCTTTAATTCATATATATTTACATGTATCTACATTAATGAACAAAATAACACCTCTCAAGGCACATTCTACTGAAAAAACCCCCCCGGAAAACCGTAAGTTTTCCCCTTTGCCGAAATGGGCGGATGCAATGAAGTAAAGTGTAATTACAGGTTGTGCTCCGACACGTACTGCCCCCTATTCATAGACACTGTGTACTTACTGCTTGTCCAAGAGCTTACGAAAAAATTTACAAGCTTAGGCAGGTGGGCCTCGAGCCCACGACCCCCCGCTTATTAGTGCAGACGTCTTTTACCACTCAACTGAGCTTGCCGAGGTCGGCTGGTCGGTCCTTGTCAGATACAGCAGTGGGTACCGCAAAATATTTCGAAGACGCACTATTTCAAGTTACTTTATTTCAATATAAGTCATTATAAGGGTAACACCTGGGATTAAACTCAACATCTTCCCGACGCAGTGTACATCTTATGTAAAAACTATTCAGAAATGTACTTACTGCTTGTCAAGTGTATTGTTTCTGTTCTAGTTCCAACCAAAAAGTACTTCGCCAAGAAAGGTGCAACAACAGTTCTTTGATATATACTGTGGTTATAGGTAATAACCTGAGAACCACAGCAGCAGGTAATGCTGATTAGAAACTCATCACAGCACTTAAAAATAATTTAAAGACATGTACCAACTATTGCATGCATGAACTGAATCTGAACAATTCAAAGAGATAGAGAGACAGAAAAGAGTGTCACCAACTGAAACTTCAGAGCTGTCTGGTACCTCAGCAGCCACTGGCTCTCCCTGACGCTGCTTCTTATACAAAGAATCTAACAGCGTTTGTGCACATTCTGCTGAAAATAGGCTCTGTGTAGGGAGCCAAGTTTCAACTTTTGAGGCATTCCAAAGGTTTCAGAATCTGCCTTTTTAGCCACACATGTAGTCAGAGTCAGTTTACAAAACAAGTTTAGAAACAAAAACTAGTGATTAGAATTGTGATGCTCGCCTTTTGACTTGCTCTTGATACATTCAATAACACCTGAGCAGAAGAAAAGCACATCTGCGACAAGTCACCTCGAACTTCAGCATCCAAGAGTGTGTTAAAAGCTTTTCAAGAAAGGACCGTACTGTAATTTTTTCAACCCAAATTAGACATAAATGGAGCGATTTGAAGCACAGCCTACTTGAACTGCATGCACTGTTCATTTCTAAATGCAGAGGCCACAGGACCGACATCTAAGATTTAATCATCATCAGCACAGCCGGTGTTGTTAATAAGAAGTCCAAGTTACCACCTTATGTCACAGTGGAAGCTGGTACACAATAAAGTCACAATTATAACACCTTCACAATGGACGGACTCACTGACTGATTTACAGAATGTTCTGATGATCAACTCCTGCAACAACACGTGGCTTTGTAAATTTTTAAATCAACTTAAATATTTCGTATGGTTCACCATGAAGTGACATATAGGATAGTTTTGGTGCACCACAAAGTGACGTACCGTCCATAGACTCTGTACACAGGATACGTCAGTTTGTGGTGCGATATCTCACTTTGTGGTGAAACCGACGATTTGTAATTATTATTATATAACACCACGAATGGAATACTCTGTATAAAGTGTCACACAAGTGTTTGAAATTTCCAAGTGCAAGAAAACAATAATTTGTAAAACATTACTGACATTTAAGAATTAAAAACGAGCAATTTCAAAGTTCAAACGAAGGACGGAATAGTTTTCACCTCTTTTCCCATAAACCAAGATGGGCCTTACTAAAACTTTAAATTACAACATCAAGGATGCAATGAAAGACAACGTAAGTAAGCCTCAAACACAGTATGGTGTGTTGATAAAATGGCCTGGAAAGAAGCTGATCTGACTTACTGGCATCATCGTGGGACAATTTCCCCCTGGCTTCGTGGAACGAGCTTGTCAAAGAAGAACTCCAAGTGCTTGGAAGCCTGCCGGTAGGATATCACGCACACAAGGTAAGATCTCATTAGGTCAAACAAGGATAAGTCAAAACTCAAGCTCATCTGGACGTGGTTCCTCATTCTTATCAAAAGAATGGGGTATTATGCACCTCAACACCCACAACTCAAAATTCTTTGGTATAAAGGGGTATCAAAAAGTCACACTGCCACTCACAAATGCAACCTCTGACAGACCCATAGATCGAGAAAAATAAATGTTCCTTTTGAACTCAAATTACAGGCTTGATAACATACATGTACACACTTCAGTTTGAGACGAATACCCATGTGAGTGTACAAGAAGCCAATCAGAACTAGAATTTGGAAATTACAATCAATGGATCATCAATGATTAACCCTATCAATGCTGAGGAGGGTGAAATGGTGCGACAGCTTTACCAAAGGCCACATACGCATCCCTTTAGGGCCATTTTGAACAATCGCTTCAATTTACTGGCTTTAGTGGTAACGTACACACTTCAGTTGGAGATGCATACCACTGTGAATAAAGCACCAATTAGAACTAGAAAATCTGGAATTGTAATCGACGTGTTGGTCATAAATGATCAACCCAATTGCTGAAAAAGGCAAAATGCTACCGCAGCCCCAACATTAGTTTCCACTTAAATTACTCCATGCCTACCTCTTTAGGGTCCTTGGGCCTGAGTATGTGCTCTCCATACTTACTGATGGCAGACTCCTTATCAAAACAGCTAAAAAAGACATCAAATAAATAGAAGACACAGTATTAAAGTGGACAGAGTGTATTTCAACCCTTACTCTGCTTTTATGCCACACAGTACATGGGGTAAAAAAGGTATTGTACAATATTGGATCTAGAAGACAACAAACATTTATACAGTAGAAAATCAAATACTATTCTGCCCGTTTGCAAGTGCAGACATTTCAAACAGCTGCTAAGCCTGCAAAGACAATAACAACATTGTTCAATGAGACTGAAGAGCCCGGATCAGGGTAACATTAACCATCACATCCACAAGTACACCAGTGACAAAGACATCACAATTTCTGATGAGTGATGTCATATGAATATAATCTGCACACTAACCTTCCTAGTAGGGCATCAAAGCAGCTGACAGCATTGTCTCTCTCCACAGCTACAACAATGCTTGGTCCATGGCAAAGAATCTTTGGCTGAAACCACAAAGATGGAAACAAATTATTAAGATCTCACAACTAAAAACGTGGATACCAAGGTTTTTTTCTTATAGGGGCACTAAATAAATTCTCGATTTCATATTTGTGTTTCATATTTAATGAGGGGTAATGCAACATTCTGGCGCTTTCCACATGCCGCTAGAAGGGAAATAAAACAAACCAAAAATCACCTGTCCTGTTTTTTTCAAAAACAAAATTCGCAATATTGCTCAAGACCCCCTTTACCCCCCAATGGCCCTTGCCAACTTCATATATGTACAATCATCAACAACCTCACCAGATTGAGGAAGGACTTGCTGTAGATTCCGCTGTACTCTTGTGCTTGGTCCTCGTCAAACCACACCATCCGCATGCCCACCATGGTGAAGCCATGTGCCAGCAGGGCATCCACAACCTCAATGTGACCCCGGTAGTAGCCCTTGACCTTGGTCAACAGGAGGGGTGGGGTCAGTAGGAGGCAATTGGTCTGGCAGAGGGCGCTGTGGGAGGGCAGGAGGAGGTCGGTGGAGCTGGTGCTGGAACCTGGAGTTCGAAATTGGCAGCCCGGAGAAATAGTATCTTACAGGTGCCCGGTCACACCCAAACACCCACAAGGATACTTTAACCCTCCTTTGCTTTTACAGCACAAATGTACACAAATGCCCACAGTCAATGTTGTGCTTCTTTGAGATGTTCACCAAATGACCCAAAGAGTGACTTCAGCATAGGAGGGTTAACAAAGGTACGGCACATTTGTTTTGTTTTGCAGTATGGACATTTATTTTGGCCAGATTCCAAAAAAAAAACACCTACAAAACAAACCAAAAATAAAACAAATAAATACAGAAACTTCAACATTAACAAATACGTCTTTGAAGTTTCATTTCAATGCAACAAAGGGTTTTGTTGCTCTGGTCGTGTATAATTCATGTTCTCATGCATGTTGGCCCTTGCACTGAGCACAAAGCAGAGAAAAAGCAAGCATTTCAGGTTATTAACCGTCCAACATGCATAAAATCGCTGTCAAAATGCTGCAAGACAGCAGTAGAAATATTTGAAGGCTTGGCCTGATAAAAAACACAGGGGTGCAATATTAGAGAAAATGTTTCCAGCGTACAAACATGACAAAGAGACAGGTGAGAACACTCGAGGGATCGTATCCTAAACGTGACCTCTGTTTGACCGCAAATTGGCCTAATAAAAAAACAGGGTGCAATATTAGAGAAAATGTTTCCAGCATACAAATATGACAAAGAAGACAGGTGAGAACACTCAAGGGATCTTGTCCTAAAGGTCATCTCTGTTTGACCGCAAGCATGGTTTAGTCCTTTTGCTGAGGACTGCAGTGACTGTGGCACAAAATTCACTAACATAAAAGACAAGAAAAGTAATTTTACCATGATTACGTACCTGAGCTGATTGAGGTCAAGGAATGAGTACTGGAGACAGGAGACAGAAAGCTGTCATTGGAATCTGTCCTGACAGGATGGGGCTTGGTGACGAAGCACCTCAGGCAAGCCTGCTGGTATCCCATGACTGAATCTCTTGCTGGGCAGATTATCTGAATACGCAACACAAAAACGAGACTATGATATATGATGGATGCTTACATCAGTGTTTCGCTGAAGACCAGACACGGAACCAGGTACGAGAACAGATCTAGGAGCAGGTAAGAGGTCAGACAAAAGACCAATTACAATACCGGACACAAGAGCAGGCAAGAAGCCAGACACAAGACCCGTCGTAAGGTTAGACACAAAACCAGGCAAAAACCAGACATGAGACAAGTCACAAGACCAGTCACAAGACCAGACACATGGCCGGATGCAATACGTGTAACAGGGCAAAAATTGACTGAGGAATTCTTTTGTAGCAGCCAGTTCTTTAGAATAGCTTGTGGCTTTAATTCTGAGTGGAGGTCTCATGATGGTCTTGTGATGGTCTTAACACAGCACCTCAATAGTTCCAACATTCCTGACTTAACTAGCAATATGCTTTTATACCCCTTAAGAATGAGCTACTCTTAAGCAAGCATACACACACACACTGTGTGTGCTAAGCATATCACATGCCACGTGCACATGCATATGAACCAGAGCACGCAGCCAGTGTTTCCCCCACCAAAAAGAAATCATTCTTAAAACCCATTATTTCTCATGTAATCCAAGGCATGCACAGAAGGAAATATGCAGGGCTATGGGGAGCAGAGCACAGGGATGTTAATCGATACCTTATCAGCCTGAAGATCTGCTGTCTCCCTGCAGCAAAGCCCATCAGGGAAAAGCAACTTTTGCTCATTCACTGCTGCCTGATAGCTCTCAGAACCTGAGGGGCGGGGAGAAGTAAAACAGGAGTAGCATGTGATCCACAGAAATTCACAGGTTAAAGATTCTGCAACGTGTAGGAGGGAGGAGCGGCAGCTCAGTGCTGCAGACCTGAAATACCTCCACCAGTGTATCATGGAGTATCAGACTTCAGTCAGGTACAACTTGCTTGAGACTCCCTATACTCTGACTTCCAACACAGAAAAGCAGTGAGCCTGCAAATGTTTTAACCAATTGCTGCCAGGGGGGTTGGAAAAATGTAGTGCATATAATGGGGACTTTTTCAAGATTTTCAGTTTTCAAAAATCTTCCAAAAATCTTCATTTCAATTAATGGACGTTTACACCTACACAAATTACTGTCTGGTGGCCACTCTAGTCTGAGAGACAAAATCTATTGCCCCCTGAGTATTTCAGCCAGGCCTGCAGCCTTGTAAAAAGTGCCCAGATTGTGCGGTGTTATATAACTTTCTTTTGTTCAGGAACCTAGCACAGTGCGCTGCTGACCTGTTTTCAATAGGGGCTAAATTAGCGTGCAGCAGTGTTGTGTGGCTCATCACTGCTGTGGTGGAGCACTTTTGTCCCCGGTAATAATCCACTCGTACTAAATGCCCAAAACTGTGGTATACTGTTTCAAAAGAAGGCTGGATTAAACACACGGTGCCCGAAACCGAAGTCCCCGGCAGAAAGTAGTTAAGTGCACATCAGAAATAACATTTGAAAAAGTTATCTGGAGAGAGTCTTGACAAAGCCTCAAAAAGGGTCTTGCTGAGGTTTGTATTGTCTCCGCAAGGATATGCATGCCACTAGTCTGTCCTCACATTGTTACGCTCTGGAGCCTAATTATTGGATATACTTTGTCTACAAAACTGATGAAATGTAGAGATGCCTGAAATGTTCTTGGCAAGTCCTTTATTGGGACTTTGCATGGTATTTCTGTTGTCTTGTGTATAAAGGTGCAGTATAGGTATGTATATTGTAACAAACCGTGGCAGGTTCAAACTGTGCAAGGGGGGAGGGGTGAAGAAATCTTTTGTAGGGCGATCAAATATCTGACATGATTTCTTTGAAATGTACCTCTTATCTTGAAACAGCCACTTATGCGGCGGAATTCACTACCCCCTCAAAATTTTTCTGATGTTGTCACACTATTTTTTTTCAAATGCTGCACCATCAAGAGATTTTGCAGTAAAGCATTCCAGTCAGTTCGACATCAATTTTGTAATAAAAAATAAATAAAATAATAATAGACATAATGTTCTTGCAAAGTGCTCATTTTTCCAAGAGTGGTCAGCCAAGAAATTTTCCAATTGGCATGACAGTCAGTTATACATGTAGTTTCTTTTTTTCCTCAGACTCACTAACCATGTATGCCATTATTGATTGGGTCGGCTCCGTACATGCCCCTCCACAGGAACTGGCTCTGGCGGCGGGCATCCTGGGGGTTGGCCGGACCCAGCAGGTCCAGCAGCTTACGGACAGCATTTTCCCGCTGTAGGCAGAGCAGCAAGACAGGGCCTGACATCAGGTGCTCCTGATGTAAGGCACACAGCATCTTGTCCTATTAAAGGGTGACAACAGGGAAATGGGGCGAGAAAATGATTATACAGTTGACAGAGAGGAGGATGAAATTTTACGTGTGGCCTCATGGTTAGGACTTGTATAAATTCCCCCACCATCAGGGTGGGGGATTTGAATCGAAAGAAAAGCATGAGTTGGAACCTTGGCATACCAGTGCCTATTCTCATTAGAAAGTCAGATATTAAAACATCAATTTTACTAGCTCATACAGAAACAAGCAACCTTAACTGTGTGTGCAGCTGCCATTTTGAGACTCAAAATTGGACATAAAGAATGCAAGAAAATCCACTCTTAAAACATGAGTTGCATGCCCAGTATTATTTTCTGTTTTAATAACAATGATAAAACAATCATTATGGTATTAATGTTGCGCCAAATTATGAGGTGCTTTATTAATATCAAGCCTGCTCTCTGGCCAAAAATATTCCTAAAACCATCTCAGCTCCCTGTGGAGTGTAAAGCTCCATGCTACCACTTCAGGCACAAATGGCTGACAATCATCTCTACCCTCACAGGTACCCATTTATACCCCAGGGTGAAAGTGACCTGCCTCTGGTCGCAACATATGACCAGAAGCTGGATTTGAACACCCTGCTTTTTTATGTGTGTGAATCAAAATCCCTAACCGTCAGGCTACAGACCACCCAGCATACTTTAAGCCAATCCGAGTTTATCATACAATTCCTTCTTGGTGCAATGAAAGAATCTGGGGCTCTTTTCAAGGAATCCTTGGTTTCAAATACCAGAAATGATTAATGATAAGTCTGTTTCCATGACTCGATTCTAGGTGTAGCAATGAAAATAGTACAATAATGTGAACTTGCAGGGCTTTCAACATGGCACGGCTTCTTGCCAAAACGGTTGATTTGTGTGAACTATGAAAAAATTTAATAAAGCCTTAATAATTTAAGTAGACTAGTGTAAAAAAATCTAAAATCCTTCAAAATTATACCCTCGCTCAGCGCACCTGTTTGTCTTCCTTGGGGACCAGCTCCTCTGCCTCTTTGCTGCCGATGATAGCCAGCCTCAGGGCTACCACAGCAAAGTTCTCCTGGGCGATCCTCTTCAGAATCTTAGCAAGGTGCTTGCGGAAGGCCAGAGGCTTGATGACAGCCACGGTGGTCAGAAGTCTGGGTCCTACAGGCAATCAAATCACAATTAGAATGGTCATCATGGGGAGCACTGTGCCATTGCCAAAGCTGGCAAAGCCTCGTCCTTCCGGCCTATAGTCTTCCTTTTCTTAGCCCTTCACAGATTTGTATTCTTGAGTAAAAACGTCGTTGCCACACACAATTTCCATGTAATTGTTGTCTGATAAAGTTTTAAACAATTTCTTTATCACATGCCAGTAGTTAACTACCTGCTAACAGTATTAACCTGTAGCAAACTTATCCCAAGTGTTGTTTTATTTTTGGTTCTAAATGTGAACTTTTTAAATGATCACAGTCCTTCACAAAGTTGAACTTGACAAACGTTGATTCTTGGTCATGTTGGTGGTTAATTTGTTCGATAGGATCACTGTGGTTACAGCTTCTTAAAAACCCCCTAAACACTCATCTTCTGAAGACTACAAGTCTGGGCCTGTGCATGCATTCACTCAATCATGGGAATGAGGATAGGCGTCACCAAGCACTGCAAACAGAAATCACCAGAACATGCGCAGACATCCTCCATGTTTCGACACAGAAAATCCCTTTTTATACGTGATCCAACCTGTAGTGGTTAAGTGCCAGTGAAAGAAATCTTACCAACGAGCATGGCTTTGTAGATGGACTCTTCCACCACGAGCATCCCCTTGCCTTGCTGCTTAGTCAGGCCCTTCCCTTTTCCCTTCTTGTTCTTGGACGGGGATGATGATGACACCAAGAGGGATGTCCCCTCTCCAGTCTCGGTCTCGGCCCATGCGAAGCGGGCTGTCGACAGCTCCTCCAGGCTGGGGCTGCGCAGTGGTGGCAGGTAGGGCAGGTTGAGTCGCATGGTAGGATCAGCAAAGAGCTCTTGGTCCCGGAAGAAGAGTGTGGCCTGTCGGAAGGCGGCCTCGGCCGACATGGAGACGATACATTCCAGGTTGGCAATGCCCTTACCCGGCAAGGCACCTGTTACAGGCGAGGTACCTGGGATATGTAAATGAATCAATACAATTGTAAGAACACAAATGTATTGACTGTGATCTTTTTTCATTCTGAATCCTTTTAATACATGAATCAATGCCATTTTCTCACATAATCTTAAAGGAATAACCGAAACTGTTGGCTTTGTATGCCAGAACAATTTTTCATACACTCCAAAAAATGATTTGCTATGTCATGGCTGTAAAGAATGTTGCATATTTCTTAACATCATGGCTAAATATTTAAAGCCATGCATGCATTAGACTTTTGGAGGTTAAGCAGGGAACTTCAACATTAAGGTGACTGTTACTTTACCAACGCATATCTCACAGGATTTTTCTGACTCGGATCAAAGGTCATATGTTCAAGAGTCTATAAAACCATATCCCTTATGATGGCTACATCCCATTCAGTGAAACCTTCTGGCGACTTGCCAAGTTTTGTCTCAAAATGTATGGCCGCAATTTTAAGCTCGAGTTTGTGTTGGTATCAATGCTGAGATTGGAAGACAGGAGACAATGTGAGAGTGTAGGGTTGCCTTTTTGGATTAGTTGTGTGACCAGAAGGTCAAATTTTCATACAGGGGTTGAGGATTTGAGTTCTCCACTCTGTGTCTTCCATAGGCTTTGGACATTGTTGGACATCTCTGCTGGAAACCTACCCAGGATGGACTGCACCAGCTGTGGAGCGTTCAGCCCCCTGACCACACAGACCAAGGCAGGGTTGGAGGCAAGGGCCTGGACACTGGGCTGCCAGTAGCGATCGCCAACCTCGTAAGGGGTGAGCTCCTTGGCCTGGGCAGCCGTGAGGGAGGCCAGCCACTTGAGACCCAGGAGTTCTAAGCCCTGGCCGACAGCCAAGGAGGTCATGGGTGAGGAAGGTGGTTGGCTGGATGGAGTCTGGAACAGGGTGGCAAATTTGTAAAACAGTTTGATAACTAGTGTTCATGGCTTCGCTCGCATGTCTTACTCTTTGATAGCCGCAGATGAATGAAGATGTTTCCATCGTGCAAATAACTACGGTTTTACCTTTCTGCTATCATGAAATAAAGAGGTGATGCTGAAATATACTCTAAGCATGATTGAGAGTATACCTTTGCTTACGTGCAGGTCATACTCCTACCGCTTATGTGGTCAGAAGTGTACTCATGTTTATTTATGAGTAACATGCTAAAATGAAGATTATCAACCTTTATCAAGTAGTTTTGACTAGAATTAAAAATGCGTTAATCCTCTATACCCAAGCAGGTACCAAGTTTCCTGCTAGATAAAAGCCCAAGAACACTATCCACAACACAAGATGCTGGACTTGAGTCTACAGTATACAGAATTATCAATTCAAACTTCCCATTTGCTACTTCAGATTATCATACCTCTAAGTGTTTTCTTTGATACTGCAGTGCAAATATTTATGTTTTATGTGAAGAACTCAGGATATATAATTCAAAAAGCAAAGCTCTGCACTGATGACACCCTTTTTCATTAATACAGGTTTGCTTTGCTGTGATGGTAAGTGTACCATGGGCCCCACTGGCTCCATAGGTAAGTGCAATTAAAGTTTGATGCCATCAGTTCATAGGCTTTACATGTACTGGTTCTGAACCCATGACTCTGAACCTTTCTCAACCTATCGTCTGTGTTGAAGGGAAAGTGGAGGTACATGTACTCACAAATGGATACAGTCCCAGAAGTCTGATCAGAGTGTTGCCAACCGTCTTCAGGGCTTTGGCTCCTGAGAAAGTCACCACCACCACCTGCTCCAGCTCTGGGTTCGTGTAGAAGCCCCCTGGTGGGGACCCCAGGCCCGAGTGCTGTAGGTTGCCGGTTGGAAGGCCGGTCAAGTCACCCCCTAGGTGACCCAGAAGAGACTCTGAGTATGGGGCGACGTGGAAGCACAGGCTGGTGGTCAGGGTGCCGGATGGACTACTTTCCTTGATGGTGGTGAGCATGCCTGGGGGGAAACATGAACAAGTGCAATAATTTTACAAAATTATTTAACAGGAAAAATATGCGATTACATCAATATTAAACTTAATACCATCCTCAAGCATCTTGAAAAAAACCTGTGCAGATGTAATGACATAAACTTATAAACGAACATAAATTTTGAACTACCTCGGAACCAATGTGGAACCACACATCTTCAACAACACTTCAACACAACAGCGCTTTGCAAACAAACTTGTGCTTCCAGAATGCTGATGGAATTGGGTATGTAGGGCCCAAAACCAACATGGTGGATTATGCATCAGTACTCACGGGCAATTACATGTAGCACACACGATAGCTGTATGCTGTACAGCAAACGTGAACGGCCATTCTGGTTCCAAAGTCTGAAGTTGGCTCATCGCTCCCTATGGACAATTCTGATACAGCCCAGCTATCATTACTTACCGGACAAATTTGCAACAGAATGCTCCACTAATGAAAAACTGTTGTACAGTGGAACGCCGCTGTAACTAACACAACGGGGTCCACTCTAAATGTTCGGTACAGCAGTTGTTTGGTATAGCGAAATTAACTGCCAAACGTTTCATTGCCATGTTGAATAGCGCCCTCTCTTGTCTAATTGAAGTGCACCCTCTTGTGACACTATGATTTGCTGCTTTCTGGAGGTTTTGCCGTTGCATTCACGTTTGAGGTTTCTAGAAATGTATCTGTTAATTATTTGTACTTGAGTAATTTGTACTTAAGTAATTGAGTTACGAAATTGCTCTTTAGTTTATCCTAAAAGTTGTGAATCTACTGACAGACTTTAGGATAACATTGGGCAAGGTGTCCCAAATTTCAAGTACAATACTGCACATTGGTGGATTTTCTAGGGTACAGGAAGGCTACCATCCATGGCGCCCATGAATATTTTAGGGTCAATAAAGATGACCTTTACCCTTCACGCATAAGTGGACCATCAAGGCTTCGACCAGGCCTGCAGCATGATGCAAGCCGTTCTCCTTCCGCAGCAGGAGCACCATGGAAGGCATGGGAGAAGGGCGGGCCTGGGGAAACTCTGCCTCCAGCTGCTGCCTCAGCTTCAGCTCATAGTTCTGGGCAGGGGAGGTGGGCGTGGTACAAGAGAGCGGGTTGAAGGCGCGGACCTGTGCTCCAGTCAGACCTGGCAAGTGGCCAAATGATGATCAACATATGTGTACATGTAAGATCCAAGAGGAGAGGTGGCAAACAAGGAAACGATCATGGAAAGAAACATCCTCGTAATTCTTTTTCCAATTTTCCATAGGAACTTGCACAAGAGCTTCGACCCTCAACCAATGAAAATGAGAAAGAATTCCACTGAAGGAATCTTAAGGCCTGTGTTTACTTTAGAAAAAGCAAATGGAGATCTTTGCTTTGAGGTACGGTGATGACATGGACATCATGTGGGTGAAAAATGTTGCAGACTTGAGAGGATTTTCAGTCGCGATTTTTGATGGTCAGTTTTCAATATACACAGATGTGAGCAGAAATGTGCGCACATTCAAAGTCTCTCAGCATTCTGGCGTATAAGAAACTGACGATAGAAAAGCAGAAATTCAAAAATGCAAGCGCCACCACAGAAAGGGTGCCTTTCCTGAAATGCCTCTGCCTGTCAGGCTTCCAGTGTGCACAAATGGCTCAGTTCTTAAAAGTCGTTCTGGTGACTTGACTTATTTTCTCTTAATGACTGCTTTGAGTGGTGTAGTGGAACTAACCCCTGAGGTTATCAATGGAACTTCCTCAGAGGAAAAAAAAAGTCCTCCGTAGATCACCGAGGGAGGCTAGTTTCACTGTACTACAAGAAAAGCAGTCAATATTTGTCTATAATGCCTCTTCCATGGATTCTGCATTAATAAGCAATAACTGCTAACCCTCTTTTTGCTTTATAAACAGTCACTGACGATCCAAAACTCCTTAACCACTTCCTGCCAGGGACTCCAGGATCGGAGACATATGGTTTATATGGGTGGCCGGGGTCACCGAACTCAGACAAAGGAAACATGGCCCTGTAACAAAAGACCAGGCTGCTGGGCATTACCGACATTTTTCACTCTCAAATGTGGTGATAATCCAGCCTTGTTTTGAAACCCTATACCATGGTTTGGGGCATTGAGAGCGGGCGGATTACCACCGGGGACAAAAGCCTCCACCACCGCAGTGATGAGCCACACAGCATTGCTGCATACTAATCTGGCCCCTATTGAAAAGAGGTCAGCAGTGCACTGAGCCAGGTTCGTGAACAAAAGACAGTTAACCACTCCATGCCGGGGCATTTTTCAATGTTGGTGATGCTGGGCCAGCATGACTATCATGTCTTCCATTTTTCAAAATCCTTCAAAAATTCATCATTTCATTTAACGGTTGTTTATAGCTGCACCAAGTAATCTTTAGGCACTACTCTAAGTTGAAAGGTGACCGTCATTGCCGCCCGAGTATTTCAGCCAGGCCTGCAGCCTTGTAAACAGAGCCCAGATTGTGCGGTGTTGTATACATGTAACTGTCTTTTGTCCATGAACCTGGTTCAGTGCACTGCTGACCTCTTTTCAATAGGGGACAGATTAGCGTGCAGCGGTGCGGTGTGGCTCATCGCTGCGATGGTGGAGCACTTTTGTCCCTGGTGGTAATCGGGTGGCTCTCAATGCCCCAAACCCTGGTGTATGGTTTCAAAGCAAGCCTAATCACCACTTTTGAGAGTGAAAAATGTTGGTAATGCCCAGCAGCCTGGTCTTTTGTTCGAGTTTGGTCTTTTGTTACAGGGCCCTGTTTCCTTTGTCTGAGTTTGGAAACCCCGGCCACGCATATAAACCATACGTCTCCAATTCCGGAGTCCCCGGCAGGAAGTGGTTAAACTTGATTCCCACACTACACGAACACATAGGGGTCATTTGACTGATTTTGACTGATAGGACAACATTGTCAAGAATGGATCTATTCATAGGAGGATTTTGATCTAAATAAATAAGAAATTCATTGAAAATCAACCAGGACTTTCCAAACAACCTCTCCACAAAACATTTGGAATGCAAGCGACGTGCGACGAACAAGAAAGTAGACATTACATGTAGCAAGCGATTCCGGTGGTCACATGTATAGTTCATTCGTTGGTACGGGCACGGTTCTTTTGATCACAAAACCTAAAACAGCGCTTTCAGTTGATCAGGATACAGAATCTGTGGGTGAGGTGTTATAATAAAAAGTTCCCAAAACATTTCAAGAAAATGTGATGCTATTTTTTCAAAGACAAATACCTGACAGATGCATGCATAAATCAGCAGCCACATGTGCCCAGTGGAAATCTACCTGGCTTCAGTATGGTACTTTATGGCAATCCTTGCTTTCATTACCATAAATCTCAATGACAATACCAAGAATCAAAGGAAGTACATGTACATACCTAACACTGAAACCCTCTTGTTGTTGAGTCGGAGGCGGCGCACTCCTCGAAGCTGGTAACCCCTGGTCAGGCAGGCAGACAAGATCCCCCCTGTGCACATTGGCGGCACGAGAGGCGACACCACCAGGAAGATGTCGCTCTGGGTGGTGGCTACCAGCATGTAGGGAGGTTTCCTGCAGCATGGGGAATCACAAAGTATTACAGAACTCAAGTCATGATTCCAGTGTTGCAGTTGAGTCCTCACGACACAAGACCATCACACGATTTTCAAACTGAATTCAACTCACAAGTACTATAACGTCAAATGAAATGCAACAAAAGTCGCTTTTCACCTTCTTGTGACCGACCTTGTGACAGGTCTTGTGTTTGGTCATTTGGTGGTGACTGGTCAAAACGACACTGCATAAGTTATGATTCAAAATGCCTGCACATTAAAATATCTCAAATTCAAGTACTCTTTCATGGAGTGATAAGAACATACTTAGAATGAATGGTCACATATTACAGCCTGTTTTATGCACATTGATTTGGTATATTGTCAATACGTTACAAACTATATAGTCGTTGCAATGGAGAAATTCGCTAAAGGCCACTGATTGATCCACAGGTGTCAGCTGAGATTGAGATTACTGGATCAGCACAAAGTATAACTGAGTGTGTTTCAGACCTGGCAAATTCATTTTCTGTAGTTTTTGGAACATGTATAAAGGCCTGACCGAACTACAGTACACATCACAGCATGTGAACAGGGCCAGGCACTGATTCATGCGCCACGTTTACCTAGTATGTCAACACGCCTACTGGAGCCAAAGGCACATAATATGTGCCTTCTGATTGGTCAAAACCTAGGTGTCCGGAGAGCATCATCTTTCCCAATTAACGAGCAAATGTCCACAGGTATCACAGATGCTCGCCTGTATCTTATTACACAGTCTACTTCGACACTACATAATCAAAATAAATAAAAAATAATCAAATCCAGGGTCTACTTACTTTATGACTTCCAAACTGTCTGCAAGCTGATCACCCAAGTCAGCTTGAGAGCCTCTCTTTCCTCTTCTGCCTCTCTGGTTTAGCTGCCCCTTGCCAGACTCCGCTCTTAGCTGGGAGGCAAGGGTGCCTGCCGATCCCACATCCACGACCCCACTCTCTGGGACCCGGCCGCCAAACCAAAGGGCCAGCTCGTAGCTAACTCGGTTGGGATTGCGCGGGCAGTACATAGGGACTTCTTCCCGTGTCTGGCCACCGAAGAGTGCAACAAGAGACCGGGGATCGGTGCGACGGGCTAGCTGTGGGTCCGAAGGCCCCATCGCATCCAGCCAGCGGGTGCGGGCCATTGCTCCACGGATTGCAACAGCCAGGATAGGCCCAACCTTATTGACATGCTTCAGCAGCTGACCGCTGTCCATTTCTCTCTGCTTCCTCTCCCTGGGGCTGCCGTTTGGCGGTGTCAGCTCCTCCACGGGGTAGAGCAAGCGCACTCCTGCAATATCCAAACTTTCTTGCAGGATGCGATAGTAAAACCCCAGCATGTGCCTCGGATTGCGGTAGACTGACTTGTAGACAAGGCTCATGGTGTTCTGGACATCGGCGTAGTTGTCATATTCCTCAGTGGACGTGAGGTCGGAGATGGCTTCGTCGGCGTCAACAGTTTGCCAGAAGAAAGCAGCCTCGCTGGACGGAAAGACCCGTTGCACCGCTTCACGATCTTGGCTAAGGGTCAATAGCATCGACAACGGCTTGGAGCTGATGTGGGGGAAAGCGGGGACATATGACCCGTCGTCAAGGACGGTGTCGTATGAAGCCTGGTCACTTGTGTCGGCCAAGCCCCCATCCCGCAAGATGGTGCAAGCAAAGGTGCTCTCCACCCAGGGGCAGACAGTCAGGAGGGTGTTGATGGTGAGGAAGGTGGAGAGGTGGGCCTGGAATGGAGTGCTGTCCCGGGTACTCTCCTTCCCCAGCCCTTTGGTCTTTCGCTTCAGCATGTGCTGCCTGCCTGTGCTAGGGCCTGTGGGGGTCACTGCCACATTCAGGATTGGCCCGTCATCACGGTAGAGCTGCTGAAGCCCCACCACCCAGAACGGGTGTGACTCGGGCTTGGGGATCCTGTCTGCCACAGGCTTGGTGATGCCCTCCGCCAGGTAGTCAAATTCCGGTGGGACCAGGGATAGCAACCAGGTCAGCAACAGCTGGTAGGTGATGGAGATGCAGTTCCGGCTGACAGCACGGTCGCTGCTGGGGCAACGCTGGGGGACGATTTCACCACTTGTAGACAGCTGGACAGTGAGGAGAGCACACTCTTGGTCTGGGCATAGGATGGGAGGTAGGCAGTGAGGGGATGCAGTGTAAGATGCCTCCTGGGAAATTCAGAAAATAAACATATCATTAGAATCTAGGTCAGAATCCTTTTCTCTCAGTCTGTCTGGATTTGATGCAAGGGGGGGGGGCACAATGGCCAAGCCTCAAGGCCAAGCCACAATCACTCCCCCACCACAATGAAACCAAGCAAACATGTCCTAAACACATCAAAGAGAATTAAAAAGCCTCTCTGGGTTGCCTGACAGTAATAAAAGACAGGCCATGGCTTGCCCAGGTACCATCTGGGTATAATCCCATGGGGCCACATGACAGAGATGTTATGTACATGTATACACATTCCCATAGGACTTGGCCAGAGACTGGCTTGGGTTTCTTCTTTTCTGGATATTAAAGCCCCAACGTTAAAGTTGACCAAACTAGACTGTTCAGCGTGAACAGGGGTAGGATGAAATAGGAAGTGACTGCATTTGGCCCAAAATTTTTTTTTTTAAATTATAAGAAGTAAGAAATGACTGGGGAATAGAGGCCATGTCCCCTTCACTTAATATTTAATAAGTCTGCATCCTACCACATCTACATTACGCCTGTTCAGCTAATTACAATTTGCCCAAATGGTAGATGGTTTTGAACCATCTACATGTAGTTGACCATTTGGAACCAGGCCCAGGTGCTCAGTCATGCAAATTGGTTATCAGTAGCTGATTTTATTTATCAGTATGGAGGGAACCATTCAGGTGAAACTAGCTGTCGGAGATGCCATTGACAACCAACACAAAGAGTTGTGGCCAACAGTAACACGTGAATGAAGATGAGATTTTGCAGAATAGATTATCAAGAGATGTTTGAGCAAAACTGTACTGCAGGTGTACATTGTCAAGAAGCAGTTGACTAGTGGTGGAATTATAGCTCACAACCGAACTTTTGCGGTGCTGATGGATATAAATGCACTACAAATACATGTTATCATCATCAATATCAATAGAAGGAGGCGTGAGAGTCTTAACCATATCATAGATGATTGGCGTGCTCCTGGCAGCAGGCCTCTTGCCGGATGCGGACAACCGGGGCCGCAGGACTTCTAGGCGCTTCTGCAGCCGCATCCTGGCTGCCCGCTCCTGCTCCCTCTGCTCTCGCAACTTCTGCCTCATCTCATCCTGGAGTAGATGCTCTTGATTCAAGGCTTTGATGGGGGCAGTAGCTGTGGTAGGGGAGGGTGGAGGGGTAGCGGGGAGGGCTTTGCCAGTGGCCTCTTTGGCATGGGTAGCCGCTGCTGTCTTCTGTTTGGAGGTCGTCTGGAGGGTTGGAGGCATGGCTTTTGTCTTGGCCGACTGGGCGTGGCTGATGGTTATGGGTGTCTGGAAAGGTTTAATTAGTGAGCTTTATTCACACGGTGGCCACTTTTGGACTGCTCCACGAATCCACTTTCACAAAACACTCTGAAATGGCAAGGGGCATAACTATTTTGGTACAATTGCGGGTAAAGCCTGACTTTGAAACATATTTTTCATTTGTCAATAAAGGTGATGAGGCCTTTTATTTGTACTATGGAAGTACGTATCAAACCAAAACAATGATATAATTTGCCCCTACTGCATTATAGTTTTCATTCATATTGCCATTTTCAGAGAAGTTTGCAGGAATTGTCTCATTTTTGTTCAATAAGACTAAAAGAGGTATTTTGCAACTGTGCCATGAACCCATCAGTTGATGGTCATATCGTCAAGCAAACCAGCTATTAAAATTGGAAACACAGTGCATGCATCACGGTGCATGCAAACAGTTTCCCTCGTATAAAAATTTTGAGCAGAAATCCTCGGTACCCCCTGGGAACAGTAAATCTGCATTTCAGCCAAACACAATTTTAACATGCGTACACGGAGAACAGCACTAAAACTACAACAGCAAAGGATGTTTGGAACAATACATGTATCTTGTCGGTGGAACAATTTCCTTTTAAGATTTCCACGGCTGAGTTGATTGGTTGTTTAGTTTAACATTTGTCCGCACCCACAATTTAGTTTGCCTGGTGCCTGAATATGTGTTGGCAAAATAAACCAGAAGTTGGCAATGGGTCCTTGACTGAACTTGACCCAACATAATACCTGATCATGGACTAAATTTGCACACATCACAACCATAACATAAGATCATCAATGAAGCTTTGCTCTGTGTTCTTCCTACCTCTGTTTGGGGTTTTTCCTTGTCACTTTTTAGCATGATCACCCTTGGTGGTGGGGTAGCCTTTAACACTCTGCATAATTGTGTTTAAAAACAGATGCATCTGGGTAACAAGTGACATCTTACATGTCTTATTTCATATGTATCAAGTGCATTGTACCTGTGAACATCTGTTTGTCTGCTGAGGTTATTACATGTTTTTGTTTAATATGAGGAAGACTTCCCCGGCAGCAATGGTGTGGCTAGGATTTTACTGGTGGGGGGGCACAAAGGGGCACCGGCATCTTATGGGGGGGGCACCAGCTTTCAGTGGTGTGTTTTTGGAGGCAAGTTTTTGTTAGCCTTGCTCAATATGCATTCCTCTTTTTTTCCCGGGGAGAGGGCACCTGGGGGGGCACCAGGAATTTGTGGGGGAGGGGTCATGTTACCCCCCACGCCAGTGCCCAGCAGTGAGTGGGTTTACTGTGCTGCACTGAACCACCACATTCCTTTCATTTGAGCCACCGACAGGGAACGTAAAAAGCACAACCATGGCAAACGTGAGATCTGAGAAAGCTGAAGATATCCTGGGGGTGGGGAAATGTGCCTCAAGTACATCCTTAATTCTCCATCACAATATTTCAACAATTTGGATTGAAAGTTCCTCCAAACTGAACAGCCATGACATGAATCCCTACACAGTCATCTGAAATCCTGAAGGAAGTTTGGGAAGAGTTTTGTGGGATTGAAGAAGGTAGAGAACTAAGTTTGTTCTCTTACGTAGACAATTTCAGAGGAATTTTGGAGGGTCTAGTGGTTTGTAGTCGAGACCATCACAAGGCCTCTCAGGAGACAATTCAAAAGACCGTTCACAAGACCAGTCGTAAGTAAAGGATGAACAATGGCAAATGAATGCTTCTGTTGCAATTCATTCGAACAACTTGTGACTTGAATGAGCCAATTCAGTATTTCAATACAGCAAGGTCATTTGGGAACAAAGCACCCACACAAGTCTGCAGAGGTGCAAGCTGATTGGGCAGACCTCGCATGCACATCCCAATAATATCTGACACCCTTCGTTTTGTGCAAAGGCTTTTAGAATACTTAAAATGGCTATTCAGACTGGGGATGTGTTTAGTCTAACAGTGTATGGCGGGTGTTAAGAGGTCTCGACTGCAACACCGTCAATTCAAACCGGGACAATGAGCTCAGCCAAGACACCAACTTACGATTTCTTGGCTGCACCTTGAGGTGGGGAGGGCCCCTTAAATCCTCTCTTTCGATTCTCTCTCCAGACTTGCAAGTCCTCCTCCTCATCTTGGCTGCTCTCACTCGCATCCGATTCGCTGCCACTGCAGAGAACAAGACCCCTGAGTCTAACTCCAATTTGACAGCACAATGCATGACACATGTTCTACTACTTTTTGGTGATAGACTGCTCAATATGATTAAGATTTTATTTGATGGTGAGTTGACATGTTGCATTTCATTTGATTATGGCAAGATACATGGACAGGCAGGTTGTAGAGTTGTTATCACCTGCACGTGATAACCACGTGTTTGCGCAGCATAGAACCAGAACCAATATCCGGTTCATAAGTGTGACGTCACTTCAGTTTAAACCACACCCACTGCACACATGCACTGCACAGAGTTGCATGCACTGATTGTTGTTTACTTGGAACCATGGAACCGGAAGTTAACGCGCAACTTCAGTGATCGTCCAATGGGAGCCTGCAAATCGCGGCGCATCTGTCTTTGTGACGAAGTTACTTACCAACCGGATAGAACCAGAGTCCCTTCTTCATCTGAGTTCACCACCATACATTATAACAAGCAAGTTTACCAGTACCCAAAGATTCCTAGACATTATGAAACACTTGGTTTGGTTTTTGTCTTTTTTCTCTTGACTTAAAAACCAATGTATTCCAAATAGTGTGTTCACTTGAATCTCCAACCAACGTACATGAAAGTGTTGGTTTGTCTGAATAGAGTATAAAATGTAGAGTGGACTTACCCAGGTGAATTCAACTGAAGAATCCTCTTAACAGATTCAGGAACAACATCTGGTTCCTATTAATAGATCAATGCATGAATCTTTTTAGAATTTAGGAACTCTTCCACGCAGAACACCGATTACTTAACTCCCAAATCCCTATCTTTCTGCTACTATCGACTACTTTTTAAGCCAAATAAAAGGAATCTGACATGGAACATGCCGTAATACCTTCTCTTCTTTGGCTGCTGTTGTCACTCGCAGATCCAGAAATACGGTCTGTGTTCTTTCCTTCTTAATGGCATTTGTGCCTACCCCTATGGTGTGAGTGGAATACTCCAGCACAGGCCTACTCTGGGTTGACACACCAATGGACACTGTCGACTTGGGCACCTGATGCTTGTGCATAGGGTCATCCATTCTGTTGGAGGGGAAGGGACAATAACAGAAAGGTTCTGAAAGATGCGGAGAATTTGGCCTAGACTTAGGCATTTTTTAACGGCTAGAGGTATCCAAAGCAGAAGGCAAATAAACGATAAGCCACAGCAACAGCCCAATAATTAAACTCCACTACTGACATGGTTGTTCTTCAATGACGGGAAATTGTACACAGGCTTATACCCATTACCACCTGTATGAACTGAGACGAGTTCAACAAAGTCATTTGTCAAATTATTATTAATATTTATCTATTTCTGGTAATAACACCAAGGATTCTTCAAAAGCACCCTAGGCACTGTAGCTTGCAAGCCCATGAAGAAACCTGTGGAGAGGAGACAAGACCACTCAGTAAATAGTATTACCAAACCTAGAGATTTCAGTTTTTAAGTGGAAAGGATGATACAGTGATGAGATCTTGTCAACACTTGTCGACTTCCAAACCCACCAATTTGGTGGATTAGAATATTTAGCTTTTAGAAGCAGTCAATAAATGGTAACACAGGGTTACACCTCTTCTCATTTTCCATTAATGCTGGGGTATACTTTGCAAGTCAATCTATTGAAAAACAAGCACATAGATTTTTATTTAGCAGCAATTTCTGATAATTTTCCAGCAAAGAAACTTTGTAGCCCTTGATCATGAACCTGAAGAACCCTGCTAAGAGAGGACAATGCAGAAGTATATGCATTCAGTGTTAGGAGTGAAACCCCAGTCAAATATTTCAAAGAAACCCACAGGCACATGTCGGGAGAGAAATCTCAATTCCAATGACCAACTTGAGTGAAATTTGAACCAGGGTCACAGCTACACATGTTGGTTGAAGGCAAGAAAAGTACCACTGCGCTAACCGGACTCCATAGGGAGCCCTATAGGTGTTACACGTTACAAGTGCACAAAGTTAGATCACATTAACCACTCCATGCAAGATTACAGTCTGGTTACTGTGCGTAAACACAGGTAGGGCTTAACCATCCAACACACCTTGATTCACATTTGGCTGACATTTTAAAATCGCTTATTTCCCATTTACTTATACACACCAAGTCCGAGGAGCCTGTGGAGGTGGACCATGTGTTGTGCTACTGCACTTGGCTGCTATGCGTGGCTGCTTGTGTTTGAAAATATTATTCTGTGGGCACATCTCAGAGTGTTGAAAAAAATATGCAGTTTCGGTATAAAGAAATACAGTGCAAATGACTCTTGTCAATTAGTATCCGTGGCATTTGGCATTATTGGCCACTGAAGCATTCATCGGAAGTCAAACCTTTCGACCAAAAATAAGACCGCTGGCGAGTGGTTAACTTACTCTGTATTGGTTCCCATGTCCCTCATCTTCCGGTCCTGCTTGGCTGCCCCTTCGGCCCAGGCCACTTTGCGTGTCCTAGGCGATTCTGGTCGTGGGCCCAGGAGCTGGGTCTTGGAGAGCGTGCCAGAGGACTGCTGGACACACAGCTGGGCCAGCTTCTCCATCAGGCTGAGATTTCCACGGTCGGCTGTGGGAATGATGAGCAAGTATTCAATTGAAATGAGGTAGAATTAAAAACTTAAAGTGTAGCTGATTAAGACACCATTCAAAAGGCTGTGGCAGAAGTAACTGCCTCAGGCCTCATTGATCCCAGTGTTGGTCAATATACTCCAGAACACAATTGCACATTTTAAGAGATGTGGTCCTTTAGGAACTGCTCATCAAGTGGCACTGTGATAATGTACATGTAAGCATGCTGCGGGTCCATGTGCGATAACTACAGGTATAGGAAGAATACAATACAAAACAGTCGCTGCTGCAGTGCATTATGCAATATTTGCAGGCATCAAGTCCCTAGTAAACATTCTTCATACGTACTTCAAACAGAAATGGAAAGTAGAAAGAACTTACAGACTGTGTATGGATTGGAATTTGCAGAAGCCAGGCTATGAGAGATGTACGCATCCGCATGTCTATACAGGCTAATGGAAGTTTAGAGACAGAAGTCCTAACATGTTGGCTAATCATTGTAATGATTAAAACTGCCTATCCAAACCTGTTTGGGTTCCATCACCACCTCCTGTCTGTGGATGAGGAGATCGTCGGCTGTTCTCTTCTGGCCTTCTGCTTGCTGGGGCAGGAAAGGAATCCAACAGCAGGTCAAGGTCAATGTCTTCCACGTCTTGCATAGACAGCTTGGGCGCCTCAATCGGGATCATCGATGATATCCTGCTCTTCTCCAAGTCAGTTGATGGCCTTTTCTTCTCGTTCTCCGTAGAGTTGGTGTCAGCTTTGGGATATGTTTCAGTGGGGGCATTCCTGTTATCCAGTGCCATGTTTCGGGCAACTGTACTGTCGGAGCCTGGGTCTTGCGTCCACCCCGTACCATTTGATACAGCATTAAAATTGGTGGGTGTCCGCATTCCATTCTCCCTGGCTTCCAAAGTGTTCATTAAGTCTGACCAACTGTGCATTTGATTATCATCACTGTTTATCCCTGAAATACTGATGAAGGCAGAGTCTTCACCCACCATGGCATGTGCCGACCCTACCTGCACGATGGACGAATCCAAGGACATCAGTTTGGCTGCGCCATCATCACTGTCATCGGAAGTCTTCCTGCTGCTCGACTGACTACTGGAATGAGCAGAATTACACTGATGGAGTGCCCCCTCCTGGAAAAAGGCATTTTTGTTGGAGGGTTCCAGGGCAGAGCGCCAGGTTTCTGGTGACATCTCAATTTCCTGGTGTGGGTCCAACGCCGTCGGAGTCTTCAGGGAGCGGCTGACAACGGCAATCTCTTCATCAGAGCTCACCTGCAGTGTCAAAGATGACAAAGTTCAAAACCTTGAGGGGCATATGCTGGTGAATTCAGAAATACATGTAAATGGACAGAAACACTGCAAACCTACTTCACACTGACCCTTGTCAGTTCCAAATCCCCTGAGGCAACTGAAAAAGAATTGAGAAAGTGCTAGCTAAGTGTAATATTTCTTTTACCCTGTGAAAGTTATAGACGTACATCTAAAGATTTGTTTTACTGTATGAAAATGTACATGTACAGACATACTGTACGTGTACATGTACGTGTAGCATTTCATTCTGGCACTTGCCATCGGTGCATAGGGGGATGAAAAACACTCCCCACAAGAAGACAATCTTTTTTACAGTATGATGAAGGGTAGGCCCAATATTTAGGTACATGTGACATTCCTTGCTACTAGAATTTAGTGTTGGCTATACCTGTACCAGGCTATACAAGCTTACCAGAAGAAATTCGCAAAGTTTTGGGCACCACCTTAAAAAAAGGAATCCCCGGAAATTTGATGTTGAAACCACCCTTGGGGCTTGCTTGTCAGTGATTTAGGACTTACATCGGACAAGTCAAAGTCAATGGAGGGGAGGCTGGCTTGCACTTCGGCAAAGATGGTGTCCAGCTGGGGCTGCATACCGATACCCTCTGGCAGGGCGGGGACTTCAAAGGGGGCGGAGTCACCCCCAGGTCTCGCCATGTCTTGTGTAGAGGTTGGTTTCTCCATGGTGGCAGGATAAGTGTCAGGGGCTACGTCTGCTTTCCTGAAGAGAGGTGGCGCCCTCTAGGTTTGTGGGGAGTGCTTTACGTGGCCCATCATCTTGGAACTGAAATACCTGAACAAGATGCAATTCACCAAAAATTTCAGGACTGTATGAATGGAGTGGCCATAAGTTGCGACATCTTAGACTGGTTATTGTGTACATGTACTTCTACTACACCAATTAGCAACATTAGAAACAGGAACCAGACCATGTCCATAGAGAACGGAGCTGGGACATTATTTCACAGCAAAATATAATGAGGTACTGTAGGCCCTACATATATTAATCGATCTACCACAAAAGAAAAGAAAAACAACTTTGGAAAGTTGACAGAATTTAATATCTTAGAAAAAAGGAACGAAAAAGAAAAGAGAGAAAAAAAATAGAGGATCCATGAATGCATGTACACGGATGCAGACCTGTGCAAGGCTCAAACCTGTGAGTCCACGACTTTGTGGAAGCCAAAACCTGATATGAAATTTGGGGTTGATTTGCTCTTTAAATGAAATCTATTCATAGGATAATCAACTCTGGAGTTTGCACAAGAACCAAGGGAAAGAACATTACATATCCCAACATATACATGAACATGCACACATGTATGTACTGTTTTCTACATACATGTATAAACTACATACATGTACATGTAGATGTATCATCTCAATCAAGGACAGTCATTGCAGAAAATGCTGAAAGGTCGTGAATCTGGGACTGAGGCATATGCCAACCTTACAAGTAGGATACACTTAGAAAAGTTGTTTGATTATACACTGTCTGTGTCCACAGCCTCTGTAGTGGAGTCATAGGATGCAACATTCTTTCCCAGGCACGAACATGGTGAAAGATATTCTTGTAGTGGAACATCCAGGAAGGTTTAGTGCATTTTTTATGGCATGGAATAGCAACAAGAGGAATTTTGCCCCAAGCCGAGAGAATCCTATGGGCACAAGTTTCATGCACGGATGTAAGCCCTACGGATCATTACTATTTTTTTCCAATGTTCAGTGGTACAGTATCAGCCATTAGAACGTGATAATACATGTATGTCCAAAAAAGTCCTAACATGGAAAATTTTGAAATATCTATTTAGAAAACATATTAAAATGGATACAATTCCACACATGCAGAAGCCACCTGACCTGACACGCTGTGTACATCTACATGCATGTACAAACCCTGTGAGCATGGTGCGACTGGTCTGATGAACAATTCTGTCACTTGATGTCTGTGTTTTCTAATTTGTAATAGGCCCTACGCAGGTGCTAGATGTACCTTGTAACTCAATATTTTCCCTGCTAAATTTCACTTTTTAGTCGCAGTGGACCACTTTCTAAAGTGTTTTTGAACCACACTATGGGGGTAGATTTGAATTGTTCACAATGTACAGTTAGGATAACATTTGTCTGACCTCATTAAAAAAGTGGCAAAACTTTTGCAAACACCGAAAAATTGAGGAAAACTGTTTTTCAACCAAGTACATGTATATGCAAACTTTTTGCTCCATCTGTACATGTCATGCACGTAGATGACGGCAGTATTTCCACTTTCAAGGAAATTCAATTTTTTAAAGGAAATTTAATGCTTTCGAAAGAATTTTTGAGGAAATGAAAAATCTTGAGAAATATTAAGGAAATTCCCCGAATCCAGGAACATTCTGAGGAAATTATTAAAATATACAGAAATTTTATTGTATTCTCCTTAAAATAATTAGCAAATTCTTGACCATCAGTTTGAATTCTTGCTTTGATGTAGCGGCCTTTTTGTGGAAAAGTAGCCTTAAATTTCAACTTTTGTCAAGTTACACATGTACATCATACTTTTGAAATGAGCCAGATACTGAAATTTGGTGGACCGTATTCGCAGGGGACCAAATTTCAGTCAGAGGTAGTGTATTTATTTGAAAACATTAAATTTGAAGAACCAGACTCTATTCTACGATTTCATTCTGAACCCCCTAAATCACCTGGTACCATCCTATACAATACGTTCAAGACTATGACTGAACCTGGGTCTCCGGCAAATACAGTCTATGGCTGATCCTGTGAAGGAATGTGCACACAGCCTATGGAGTCCGTGTTACCAGTGTCACCAGACTGGTCGCTGTCCCTATTATACATGTACATGTATGTTCGCAGGACTGGGATAGGAACCAGATATGCACCACAGTAAGCAGCTCAAATATGCAGATATGCACCACAGTAAGCAGCTCAAATATGCAGATCGGTTTTTGAAGTGAGACAGAATCCTAAGTAAAAGGACTGAATTTTGCCAAAAATACAGTGTAGCTAGTACATGTACGAGGTCTAAAAAAACCATCATGATTACATGTACATGTAGAAAGGGCCTACAGGTACATGTACGGCTTTTTAGGAGATTTGATTGGGAGAGTGCAATTTTAGGCAGAATAACCTGGCACATTCAGAATCCCACACCCATAGCTTTTCATCGCAAAAAAAATTGGAACCCTGCACAAGAGCGCCTCATTTCACAGTTTTGAGAGTAGGCCTAGGCCTGTAGTAGGGATGTATGTCGGTCAATAGAAATCTTTCCCTGTACTTACCATGCTCACACTGACAGTAAACCGTGAGTCCATGGGCAATCTTTTTAATATTTGAAATATCTTTATTGTAATTCACAATAAGAAGTAGATGAAAAGGTTTAGGGCTTGCATCGATAAACATTAAACAACATAACGGCAAAAACAACGAAACATTTACCATGATATACAGAGTTCTAAACAAATGACAAAAACATCAGACCAAAAGGAGAAAAAAAAGAAAGAGCATAAGGCAGGTTGGGACCTAGGACACAGGTGAAAAAACGGGAGCAACCACGAAGAGGCCTCGCATGGTAAAAATAATTATTAGGCCTAATAGAAATATATATTGAAATACTTGTGAAAACAAAAACAGATTAAGAGCATCAATCATATCCATGTTGAGCTCGCATCAATATTAATTTTGAGCAACAATTTAAGACAGCACGCTAGCTTGTCCCACAAACGACTGTTCAAGCAGGAAGACAGTACATGTACGTCTCACACGAGAAAATTTTTTCGAAGGCCGGCCACACGATGTTGGAAAATGTCACACTGAAATACAACTTAAAGATTCGCCGTCTAAGGTGTTCTTACAAAACTAACAAAATCGCAGTCAATACTGACATACTGTAGGCCTACATGTAATACTTATTAACAAGCAAATAGGCTAGGCTAAAACTTACAAACATCCTACTGCTTACTATAAGTACTAGGCATACATGTACATGTACATCATGATTTGTGGAAGGCGTCCGTAGTTACGGAATGACATCCGCTTTGGACAATCCTACTGCGAGCAAAAAAATATCGAAACACTGTATGCATGAACTACAAGTATGCTACGGGTGATTTCTTCTCAACCAGTGCGTTTCTTACCTTTATTTGGTTTACAAATTAAAAAAACAAAACACGACACAGTCTACAGGTTTTGAAGTTCGTTCGTACGAGCACACGAAACTCAGTGAACATTTGACCCGCGACTCCATGCCCAACTCCCGGATGTTATGAATATTCAAATCCAGACTAGCTTTCTCAGTCTAGTCATGTGCATGCACGTGCATGAAACGAATCTTCGAATGAGAGCGTCGAGCTAGCTTGCAATGTGGGATGTACAGTACATTGAGCCATGATTAAACACAGTACTGTACATGTGCAGTAAATGTACACCTACGGGTACATTTACCTTTCGTATGCCGTATGTGCAGTACATTCACATCTACATGTACATCATAGCCCATGCATAATATGCTACGTCAGGGGGCGGGGGAAGGTTGTTTTTTGGGGGGCCAACATTTTGAAATTTCTGTATGTAACCTTTCATCCTTTTGTGGGTATTCTGAAGGCCGAGGCTAAATTTTGGTGCTTTTTAAAGGCTTCTGGAAAGGAACTTAGACCCCCAAAATAATTCAAAAAGTTTGAGTTGGCTCTGGAATATCCCCAATGCTGAGATGTCCCCCTCCCCCAAAGTCTATGCCAGCCTTGAATTAATACCTTTTCTTTTTGGGAGAGGGGGCTGACATAGTGAATTATGTGGGGGTGGTGCTTTTTTCCACGGAGAGGGGGATGGCTAAATTTATCTACTAATCAATGCTAGCCGTGTCCAAATAAAATAAAAGGGTACACCAAGAATCAACACAAAGTTCCACAATCAGAGAGAAGTAACGTACACGTTAATAGTACTTGCAATTTCTCGCTCATCAGCAAAGCTCAAGCCACTGCTGCACAGACAGATTTATTCAGCAGTACATTTTGTCACATGAAATTCAGAAACAATTTACAAAGAACAAGTCTGTAAAACCAGGCCCAAGTGATATATGAAGCTACATAATATTGCATGTGTGCACAGTCATCATCGTGGGCACACCTGTTGGTGTTAATGAGCACCACTTTTGAAGACAATAATGTAAACATGGTAAGGTTACACATGATTATATCACCTAGCTTGATGTCGACTCAGAATGAAGTTTTACATTTGGCGAATCCCAATATTGCAAAAACTTCATCCACATTGCTCTGTGCTCCATAAGGGTGTGTGTCTTTGTTAGAAAAAAAAGTGCTCCCATGGGTGTGGTTGTGCACATGTGCCAATACAAATTACCTTTACTAAGACTAAAGGGAGCTCTGGCAATTTTGACAGCAAATTTCATCTCTTCGATATACTCATATTTCGAGCCCACATGCAGTAAAACTCGAAACACCACATTCTTAAAATCCTGCAAAAATAAGATGACTTAAATCTCTGAAATGTGTTCAATTTTACGCTTTTCAGGCTATAAATCACTTCACTACAGAAGAGCTGAACTTCTTAAAATAGTACACAACTGCTGTTTTAAAAATAGTTTTAAAATGTATCCAATCTCCAAAGATATGATTTCACACTGGGATTAAATCCTACTTAGTTATTGTAAGGTAATACATGTTTACTTTCCAAGTATATTGTATAGGAAAACATGTAATGTAACATGTAATTTTTCACGTTTGCTGCATAATTGATACAGATAAAACACCTGAGGGCAAGACTGGAAGGAAATCCTGCAATTTGAACAACAGTTTTGCCAATTTTCTGCATACTATGTATACATGCATGTTGTTAAAAAGTATAGTTTATTATTCACAGCAAAATACACCCTAATGATAATAAAAAAGTGGCTTGGCCTCGATTCATTTCACACTTGACTTAAAGGAAACAATAATCAGAAGTTAAAAAAAAAAACCAAGGGCAAACTGCAATTAAGAGAACTTGCTGAATCTTGCTCCTATATGCACAAATCATGAGAAACTGATTTCATTCAGGAGTCGGCCATCTTTCATTAATGGCTAGGCATTCTCTGAAAACAAAAAAAAAATATGAAAAACCTAATACAAGTACATGTATGTGAGGGAACAAATATCAATGCAATGGGGGCATACAATGACTTACCAAACTTGTGCTCCCATTGGCGGTTCCAAACCATACATGTGCATTAAAAAGTCATGCCACCTTTATTGTCCAAATGAAAAATGTCTTTTCAAAGTAAGACAACAACAGAACTTGCAGCTTAACAGGCTTCATTGGGAAAAGTGGATCCAGGGAGCATCAAGTACAATGACAATCTAATGAACAAAGCTCACAGACAGTGAGAGGCCACCATGTTTAGCTAACACCTCACAGGTTTCCAAGATATTCAGGTTCATCTCCATCGTCCTGGGTTTCAAGATTAATATTTTTAAATTTGGTCCTCTGGATTGAGACCCTAAACAGGCCAATTAATCTCCCCAATATTCTATATAAAAATGTTCATACTGTAAGTTTTAAAAGTTTAGCAGTAGGGGAAAGTTGCTCTGGCACAAAAAAAAACCAATTTCTTCAAATACTAAATACCTTTTACTTTAAACACAAAATACCCATAATTTAGTTTCTCGTTAAATACATAAATACCGGTATATCAATGACAGGAAAACTGCAGTTCCCCCACCTTGCTCACCCCCTCTCAACGGGCATGGCTCACATGTGCACATGTATTATTCTGCACACAGGGCGTTTAAATATTTACCTTATATAGGCCTTTATCACAATGCTGCCAGGTTTGTCTTGTTCCCTTTAGACCCACTGGCAATAACTCTAAGTACTAACAAAATGGATCAGACTGTTTTCCTTCCAGCTACTTTGCTTTGAATGGTACATGTGAAAAAGCAAGAGGGATGAAAGAGATCTATTGAAACAAAGGTCATCCAGGTGGATTGGATGTGGGTGGGTGGTTAGCTGTTGCATTAATGATGCCACGGTTAATACCTGTTGAAAGCCAACAGCCCATGATGACATTCTGGTTGTACCAACACTGTGGGTTGCTGGTTGATGACGTGTCATACATGTCCAAAATCAATCTTGGTACATTGACTGCTCGGGAAACTTCATCACGACATCGTCAACATGACCAACTCCGTGAAGGACGAGTCTGTCACCGTACACCGCAATGGTCCCAAAGCCGTTACCACCTGGTGGGATCTCCACCACGCCAGGGAAGTTCAAGAAGTGGATCCCCGACATCTCGTCGACGGTGTAGGCGTAGCTATGGGTGTGGCCCGTAAACAAAGCAACTACGCAGGGGGAGGAGCGCACTAACTTGAGAGCCTCTTGGTAGTCCCAAAGAAGACACGTGTGATCTCTGTGTATTGGGTAGATCGGAATATGGCCTAGCAGACAAAGGACCCAAAAATACAGCACTGTAAATGACAGTGGCACAAAACACAGTCACCATGGTAACCATCACATTCACATTGTTTCCCTGATGGTTTGATATTCTTGCTGTGCCTAGGCACTTCATAACCTTTCCTTTCTTATATGTTCATCAGTGGAGGATCTGCCTTGAACAGAAGCACCCCCTCATTGGTTGAAAAGAGCCATTTTGGTTGGGATTGCTCACTTTTTTGGCACAAGTACAAGTACATACATGTATCTGACCATAATGTGTGCATTTCATAATCATTTGTGAACCAGTGAACCGCAGTTCCTACCAAGGGGCCTGAGTTGTTTGGGATATTGCACGTTCTCTTGATCCAGCACAGGGCTCCTAACTGGATTGAGATCAGAGAGTTATTTCTTTGGGGAAAAAAATGAATGACCATTTTTATGTCAACATTGATAAGTAAATTGTCTCATCTATACTTGACTTCAAAAGGGAAGAGCCCTACTGTTTCAATGTAACTTCAGCCTGCATGCTTATTCATCAAGTGTAAGATGTTTGACTGCAGTTTGGGGACATTCAGACTTCATGCACAGGCAGAAGTTCCACTACACGTGCCACACTTGTGCTTGAAATATTGAATTATAATGCCCACTTTCTGGGAATCCAATCAAGGTGCCACACATTATTGCTCGCTGGACCTACTGAGCATGTGTGACATTGCTAGAACTGTCTCAGCTCGGGGGGGGGGGGGAATGCAGCTTGATGCTGCCATTTCCGGCACACACGTGCACTGTATGGGCAATCTAACGCAACAACCATCCGCCTTCACAGGTACACATTTATACATGTATGTACTCTTGTGTGGAGAGAGCAAACTGACTAACTTGCCTGCAAGTTACCTGTATGCGACAGCTGAATTCAACCCCTCGACCTTGAGTTCACAAATAACAACCTTCTTTAGTATGCCACATGCCTCCATATACATGTACACGCACTTACCAACAAGTGAAAGGCGGAAAACGACACACAAATTACTTGTGCAGGGCAATAATCTCACTCATTTCCGGGATTTCTTTTAATAATTGATCCACACTTGATCATTAGATGCACGATGATCACAATCAAGATTTTTTCGGGGTCAGGGAATCAGAGAGGAAAGCATGTGGATACCAAAACAGGGCAGGAATTTTGTTCTTGAAAGGGCAAGGCAATGTCTCATTTGCAATGGGCACTTGTATTAGAAAATCAACTTGACTATGGGGACATCAAGGCGATTGCCTCCGACACTTTTGTGAAGTTCCTGCCCTGCCAACAGCTGTTTTCAGTAACAAGAAATGAAACTTGACAGGTGTGATGAAGCCCTGTATATTCATACAGTGAATGTGTTCAAATGCAGGAAGCATTGGGCATTTGTACCGAGCCACATGTCATTGTGCCTCAATGCGATTATTTTACAATCGATCTCAAGGTGTACCACTCTACACACTGTACGTGTAGTGCGTTAGCATACTGTGTAACATTCTTCAACTATCAGTACACCACGCTCTGAGGCTTCAATACCAGGACAAGCAAACTTCCCAGATGGGTGTGCAGCAAACAAACATGTGTGCAGCATGCCAGACATTTTTCAGATTTTTGTTTTTCTTCTGAAAATCAAAGCACTCCAAATTTCATTTTTTTTTGCATTCATGGGGGTTCACAGGCATGCACACTAACCATTGGTCAATCGTTGATCCCTGACTGACCACACGTACGTGTACAGTATGTTTCAATTTGATTATAAAAATAGGTTTTATAGTATTACATGCGAGGACATTCATTGCGCCTTCTAGTCCTCAGCACAGCCAAACTCTGAGCACAACTTGCAATTGTAATGGCTTAGAGATTTACTGTGGGTCCCATGGGAACAAAACGATCTTATGGGTCATCACTTTAATTCTGAGACATACCTACTGACTGCATTCTTACCAAACAAAATGACCTTTTCCTTGGCAAGACATGCTCCTTCTAGGACATTTTCCAACCATGCCATCTGCTTCTCTCCGAGCCCTCCATTAAATGCGACAAAACGCTTCTCGGAGACCTTCAAGCCCAGAGGAGAATTCAGAATCTCGTTCTTGTTGACGGAGCGCACAAGACGCAGTGACTCCTGACCGATGGGGCACATGTCGTTGTGCCCTATAATGCTTCTACTGTACGAGTCCAGTATCACCACACGAAATCCGGGAGCAGGGCTGAAGTGGTAGTACGTTGCAAGCCCTCCTGCCCTGGACTTGCCAGCGGACAATGAGTCTTCCGGAAAACACTCACACTCAGAGTCTCTCGCAGTGGTTTCGAACTTGGCCCCTGAGAAGAGCCGACTGTTCATGAGTTCCACCCGGCTGAAATTGTAGAATTCGTGGTTGCCAAATAAATGGTGGACAGTGCAGGGAAGCCTGTCAAACTGGTTCAAGATCACATCAAGGATGCGCAGTGATTCATCCTTGCCTCCCTCGCTGTTGAAGCCGTCCAAAACATCACCCAACTGCACGACAAAATCCGGCCGAATCGCTGAGGTGTCACCGTCCATCCAGTGGTCCACCGCTTCCTTAAGCAGTGCCAAGGCATTGCGATAGTACCGCATGCATGTCTGCGAGTAATTGAGGCGGTTCTCTATGTCGGCGTGCTGTATGTCTGAAATCACACCAAACGAGAAGACGCAAGCAGATGCCTTGTTCTCCATTCTAGTTTCTGCAAAAACAGAAAACGCGGTGATACAAGAACTACATGTTTACCATAAAAGCAATCCACCCTTACCTACTTACAAAACTGCAAGTCACAAGCCCAACTCACTGAGTAGTGAAAGTACGAGCTGGTTGAATGACTCACATTAACAACTCTTTTGAAAGTAAAAAAAATCACATGGGCCTAAACCACATGGGCCTAAACCACCCACAAATAGGCAAGCCTATTTTCAAGATGTACGTGTACTTTGCATTGGGGAGATTTTGTTTTTAAATTACGGGTTTTGCTCTCACCCAACATACATAATTATAAACATTGTCCAAAAGCTTGCAAAACAATTCACAAGCTTGCTCGGGTGGAACTCGAACCCACAACCTAGCTCCTGCTTAAGATGTCTGCACTGTAAGCAGGAGGTCATGGGTTTGAGTCCCACCCAAGCAAGCTTATGAATTTTTCCACAAGCTCTTGGACAAGCACTGAGCAGGATACAGTATTTAAAAAATATATAGGCCTATGTTGGGTAAGGACAAAACCCAGGCCTTAATTCAACATTACACTTTACTGGTAGTCTGAGGAATGTGGACCCTAAATCGCCTTTTTTAACACTGGCACACGTGACACGGTTATCCCTGACCGTTACTCGGACCATGGCCTCCATGCTCGGACTAGTACCAGTAGTACAAGTACATATTGTACATGCGTAGGACGGGGGAAATGCACCTATGCATGCACATAATTAGACACTTTGTGAAACTGTTTCTACAGACATGACAGAGTAATATTAGGCCTATGGGGGAAAATAAAGTGAACTGAACTAACGTTAACTGTCAGGACTGTGGTAGGCAAAAACAACCAACCACAAGCATGACAAGACCTAGATGAGGCTAAGTCTTGTTGTACAAGCCTAGCTCAGCTGCTTTGATCACAAAAACATCACGAATCACCACATGTCCATTCCTTTCTCCATGGCATTATATATTCATAACAACATGGCTTGGTGCCTAATGGGCAAATCTTCATGTAGACGTGCAACCTTCAGGTCTATGGTGCAACACATGCAAGAATGTCGCCCTTCCTGCTACATGCTGTCATCGACATGTGACAATGGACCGCCGCGGCCGCGCCGCCGGCCGGCCGGCCGAACAGCTGTGTGCGCGCGCAGTGTAATACGTGTGTAGTCAAGCGCACAGAAAAGTTCCAGCCTAGCAGCTGGCCGGCCGGCTTCATGTAAATATTCATAACTTCATAACAAGATGGCGACCTCCATCGTACAGTTGTCTTGCGTCGCGTACGTAACGGCGTAGCTTCCTTTTCAACCTAGAACATTAGTACAGCAGAAGCAGGTAAGACATGTATCTGTATGGTATAGCCAGCAAAACATCGAGGGGACTCATCATACCAACTGTATTAGGCCTAAACGTCATGGATAACCTGTTGGTTTTAAGTCGTATCTTAATATTCTTATCATGTATCAAGGGATAATCACCTAAGTTCCTTGAGTATGTTTGTCTCGGTGCCAGGTCAATGTATCGACATCACCAACTTTTGCCATCACAGTTTAAGCCGATTAGTCATCATAACGTGATAACATGGCCTTAAAAGTCTAATTGAGCAAGGAAAATATTTAATAGGCCCCAGGCTAGGCTTAGAAAACTCTAAATCACTCAGCCATACTCCATGTGATATGCCGCGCCGGAGTAGTGACTTAGACTTAGAGTTCTCGAAGTAAGGCTAGGCTGATTTGACTATATATAGACCTACTGTACATCATATACATGTAGGCCCTACATGCCCTGGCCATGCTAGCCGTTATTCTTTGGTAGGCCTATGGTACCTAGAAAATATTTCAGACCACCACTCATCATGCTCATGCCAGTCTTTACTTTCAGTAGGCACGGTAGGCCTACTGAACATGATCATTTATGATGGATGGTAAGGACCTCATCAGGGTGTGTGCACAGGGTGTCAAGGTTACACTACACCAAATCGTACCCATAGAAAACAGTGCAAAATCAGACCAAAATACATTTAGCGCCGCCCGTTGACTCTTGTGAAGAGGTTGGCCTCGATTTTTTCACCGGAAATTCAAAATTATGGCCACCAGATCACTTTTCGTTTAAAATTCATGGGGGACAGCCCATATAATTTTTTTTGGTTCAAAAGTTTTTGTGTTCACCTTTCCCCGAAGATACCTCCAAAATAGAAGTAAAAGTATGCGCTCAGCTCTGAATGTAACCGCCCGCCTCTATCCAAAATGGGCCCACACATTTTGGGGTTTTTTAACACGAAACTATCAGTCCTAAATTCAGGATTTATAGAAATATTTCTATGATCCCTCCTGATTATGGCATGTCTTATTGTAAAAACCCTGTGGGATCACAAAATATTAATAAGCTTGTGTACAGAAATACAACCATTTTGAGGAATGCACCCTCAAGTAATGTCCAGATTAACTCTTTCTGAAAATACATGTATGTCTCTAGAGAGTTTATGCTTTATAGTGAAGTAACTAAAGGGCCTAACTGATACTGCTAGGAACATGACCAGGCCAGGCAAGGTGGCGCGGCATGCCTAAGATCATTACCTGTCAAAAACTGATTTTTCTAATGAAATGTGTAATGTTACTTGTTACACATGATGAAGTATATGTGTAACTATCATGAATTAAGGAATAACCATGCTAACGTTATAACATGTACTGTAGGTATGGGTAAAGTTTCCAGAAATTAGGGGTCCAAAGGCGTGACACTTTTGTGCCCCTGTTACACATACATCTGACCTAAGTTATTTGACAAGGAAATATCACTGGAATTGATGTCAAACAATTAGTATTTGTTTGGCAGGTAATTTGCATTAACTCATCACTGTTGGAAATTAGAGAATGTGTTCTGAACCTACAGAATCATATGTCAGATGTGACAGGGACACTAAAAGAATGGACCCCTAATTTCTGGAATTATATGTAAGCAATGCTCAGCCTGTCACACCTGTCTCAATGCTCCCATTTAATTAGTGCTTTTTTGCCATATATTTGCAGTTGCAAGAAAAATGCAAAACATTTGAATTTCTGTGAGCATGCAGATTTCTCATGTTGTGCTCAAAATATCAAACATGTGATGTAAAAGCTGATGAACCCACAGGATAGCTTGTACATGTAGTTGTGCAGACTCATTCAGTGTTTATCTGAGTTGAGTTTTTGTTTTGTGTTATATGAGCTAAGAAAGCCATTTGGATTAATATACATGTACATATAAATATAGCCACTACTTTCTGTTCAGTTTTTAACAGTACATTGTACATGTATATGTAGGTGTCTGCACTTGATCATCGGGGGGGGTGATCATGGATTACCCTTATGAAGCAAGTGATGAGGCGAGCGAGTCGGAGCTGCTAGACAAGAGCCTTTCAATGTGGAGAGGATGGGGAGCTTTGGGGGAGGATCCTACCTTCCAGCCAACACCCCTGGACCTCCACACTGCAGCAAGTATTGGGATGTACGACTGTGTTAATGCCTACATTGCCAGGTACGAATGCACTGGGCACGATTGGTTGAACCTGGGCGGTTGGTCAATCTGCGTGATGTTACTGGTCCATCGCTGTGTAATTTGTGGATCTCACAGCATGATCTGTACATGTACATACATTGTACACAGTAGATCGTACCGCCAGAAACTGGTCACCTTCTTGCTTTAATTCACAGTTGTGAAAGTTTGTTTTGAAAAGTGAAAATAAGCTAAGGTCAGAGATTTCCCACAGGATTAACTAATAGTGCAATCAGATTGATTGTGCAGATCGATTATTCCCAAGGCTTGTATGATACAGCCTGTCAGCCTGGGTAGTTTATCTATTCGGTCTCTTTTTTAAGGGGAGGGGAGTTTTCTTTTTGTTGCTGTTTTTATTTTAATCCAATTTTTAAAAATTCCATAGAAATTGTACGGGAATGAAAGGCGGTACCAATAGATTGACGCAAGGATAAGAGTTCCATACACAGACCTCACTAATTTCCCCTTGCAGTGGTTTGTTAGCCATCAAAGTGATAACATGCCCTAAAAAGTCAAAGTTAGCAATGGAAATACTCAAGTGTTGAAACACATTTTTCTAAGCCCAGGCTTAAAGATTTATGGAAAGGGTGTCAATTAATGTCCGGATACGGAACTCTTTCCAATGCAAGATACAAAATGGACCAAAAATGTATATGCATTATTCGTGTACATGGATACGACTTTAACCCCTTCGCGACGGATGACGGTAAGAGCAGCTGTAAAAATTGAGATCCTCAGCCCGCTTTTCAGTTATTATTCTCGGCCCACGCTCAAGCGAACACGCTGAAAGAAGGCAGACCCTGGCTCTTGTATGTATGGTGATTGGCCTTTGTGTGGTGCCAAGAAATTAAAAGGCTGAATTTGCATCATAATCACCAGCTTCACAATAGTCCCCACTTTGAAAAGAGGCAACGGGAATATTGAAGCGCGAGTAGAGCTGCATGCCACCGCACAATGAGCCTGTTCACTGTGTAATTCAAAGCGTGCAGAGCACGCAGAGCCACAAACCCAGAATTTGCGGTTTGGCAAGTGGCCTTGGTGGCCAAGCGAGGCTGGAATTCCCGGAGTCGGCTTTCAGAAAAAAGTTCCCGTCGTCAAGGGGTTAACAGCCCAAATGTTCCCCATAAATACAGCATGTGTGTATGTACATACACTCTATGAAGTTGTTTTCTGTAGTCAAGGTGTTATTACCATGTTTACATGTACGTCAGTCCTTCCTCCGTTCCAGCTCATCATGCTCATGGTAATCCCGTAAGTGCACAGGAAATTATTTTGCTTTTAATTTCTGATCGTCCTCTGCCCTGCTTTCCAGTGGAGAGGTGGACATCAACCACAGGAACCGAGGCAGCTGGACCCCGCTCATGTACGCCAGCTACATCGGCCACGATAATGTGGTCAATCTCTTGCTTGATGCTGGGGCCGAGGTGGACTTAAGGAATGAGAAGGGTGCCACCGCGCTGATGCTCACAGCCAGCTGCGGCAATGAGAGTATTGCATACTTCCTAGTCCAGGTTCGTTGGTCAACTGTTAGCGTAAATGAGCCAGTTTGGTATTGATCAACTGAACTTTCGTACTGAAGTATCAGGGGGTTTTTGTTCAACTTGGGAACCCTGAATTTTCTCATTGAAAAAGTTGTGTTGAGAAGAGCCTGCTCACTGACCTCGTGTCATGTATTGAAAAAACAGTGAATCACCAAAGTGAAGAAGCTGAACGGTAACAAAATATCCAAAATGGGGTAAAGTTTAGTACAAAAATGGCTGTATCACTGAGGTTTCTTTCTTTCTTTCTTTGATTGCATCATATGTTTCTCATGAGTATGGGAATTCCATCACCATAAATTAAAAAGGCATTAAATTGCTCATGAAGTGGTGCAACAATATTTTCAAATCTGGTTAAATTGAATATGAAAATTTATTTACAATATCTGCTTTGAAACAGGTATTACATAGTCCTTTAAGCAGATATGGACCTTGTCAGAGACACCAGAAACGTTTCCATTGAATATGCTGGGTTGTTTTTGATTTGTGTGGTTGATTAATGCGGTTTGTGTTGCACTCAAATCTTTTTCTATGGGGGGGTCATCTTAGCAAGGGGCAGAATTGGAGAACAGGGACCACAAGGGATGGACGACCCTCTTCTATGCAACATACGCCGGCCATCAAAAGGTGGTTCAGTTTCTTCTGGACAATGGTGCTAACGTCAATGCAAGGTGAGACCAATCGACATTGAAACAGGTACATGTTGGTGCTAACAAAACCTTTTTTGATTTTTAGGGACTTCAACACAACCCATACTTTGAACTTTTTTTTGAGACTAATTTCAAGAGTCTGCAAATGGTGTGATATTTTGTGACTTTTGAGATGCTTGGTGGCAGCAAACATACCAGTCTATTTCCTGTTCGTGGTTGAGCTCATGTTTGCATGCTCAAAATGGTGCAAACAGTAGTCACATGGGGACTGAATTCCAACCGAAACCACTCCCATTTTACACAGTGCAGCGTCAGAGCCGTTTGTGTTTTCAGCCAATGTGTGCTAGTAACTGGTTGTCACGGTGCCCAGGGCCCAATTTCATGGCGCTGCTCACCACAAGCGAAAAATCGGGGCTTACCGTAGCAGAAAATTCTGTGCTTGCGGCGAACGTATTTCACAGGTTAGCGAGGAATTTTGGCTTGTGCGCATGCAAACATCCCATAACTAAGGATTCTGTGCCTAAAGGGTTTTTGCAGAATTCTTCCGCTAGCGTGGTTAGTGCAGAATGGAGATCGTAAGTGTGGAATCCTGCATTAAGCAGCACCATGAAATTGGGCTTAGCTCAGCACTGAGTTGAGGGCAGAATTTCTTTTGTTTTAGGGAAGTTGAGACCAAGTTGTGGGGACAAAAATACCGTAATATTTTCAGACGCGCAGTGTCTACATTTCAACATGTGAGCTCTCCCCTCAGCTACGGAACAATCAATCCCATCAATCTTCATTGAATGCAAACATTCCCCCTTTGAAACCAGTCATTCATCAACACACCTGTCCATCAGCGCAATCCTACTTTGTACGTCAATTTCACTTTTTTTTATCCTTTTAGGGAGCCACGACTTGGCATCACCCCATTCATGATGGCTGCAGCCGAGGGACATGAAATTATCGTGAATTTGCTGCTGGAGCATGTGAGTCAAATTATTGCTTTCTAGAGAAGTATTGCTGGTTAGGAATATTTTGTATGGGCCAGAGCTGTATAAAGAGAGAGCTGTGCCAGCTTCAGATTTTGGAACCAAAATGGCTGTTCATTTTGTGTGCAGTACAGCATGCAGCTCTTGTGTGTTAATTGTTCAGGTGCACTAACACATAATCTACCATATTGGTTCCAACATTTGAGAATCTCATGTCGCAACTCTTTATATAAACTGTCCTGGACAGGGCCAGTTTGTTGAAGCAGGGTCAGAGAGCTGGTCTTATTCTAGTTCGCTGATTGCTCTTTTCGAATATGAGAGACGGGCTTGTCAAAGTCAGTGTTCAAGTCGAGCCTGTCTCTGTAAGTGCATTGCGCGCATGACAAAGTCCATCATAAATCAACAGTTGCAGGGCAAGTCGCTAGGTGTAAACTGTGACAGAAAACATTCCTCTCTGTCTTTTCATCGTGTTAATTGTGACTACATGTAGATGTATGAAAGGACCTGTGATTGGACTTGTGCAGGTTCTTGATGGGTTCGACTTAAATACTGGCAGGCCTCGAATTTCACGACCGCCACGACGGCCATGATCGTCGATGCCCTCCCATCTGGCCGTGGTGCCTCCGAAAAGTGATCTTGTTTCACTGCCGAGATGGCAGAGCCCTTTTTTCTCTTGGCCGTAGTGCCCTACACGTACATATCGACTGCCCCTGTTCAGCGAGGTACACGGAAAGTGGCACGGAAAATGACATACACATCGTTCCTTGATTGCTCACATTTGACCGGAACACCACGCCGCATCACCCAAGTGCATGGCATGCACGCATAAAGCAGGGAGGGCGTGCAGTGTGTGTATGTGGGAATATCGTACACTCAGCCAGCCGTGCACCGGTGGCCCGGCCCTCTCCATGCATACTGCACGTTCACAGCATAGGTGACACAGCATAGCACAGCATAAGCGACACCCGCCGGCCTAACTAAGACTTAACATAACAGTGTATGCCCAAGCCAAGTATTTTAATGTACCATGCAGTAATGTTAGTCTGGAACAAGTGCTCATAAACATGTACGCATTATCGGTATATCGAGAGCTCCACGTTTTTTGTGCACACTGGACAATTGTATGGTCGGGGCAGTATTTTAACTAACACCGCAATGTAGGTGTTTGCAGTTTAGTGCTGCACGACATCGGTTCGGTGGATCAGAACTACCCTGATTAATTTTCACGTACGTGGTGTGCAAAATCACTGGCCCGGCCAGTTTTTGTGGTACGCAAAATGCCGAGGAAAGAAGGGCTGCAATCATAACAGGCCGAAACCTTTCAACACTTGGCTGCTGGTTCAGCACTTATTACGCACATTTTCAGGTATAATGCGTATCCTACTTTTTCTTAGACCTGAGTCATTTTCTCGTGATATAAAAAAAAATCGGGATGGCATTAATGCCTATTTAACTTTGTTACGCTGATGGCATTAATGCCCTCACGTTTGGCATTACTGCCCTCTATTTCAGCCAGTTCACCGATGCCAAATGGCACTACCCTGAAAAAAATGAAATTCGAGGCCTGCACTGGTATCAGTGCATGCAAAGTGGCCAGTTGTACAAAGGTTCAGTAGGTCTGTAGGCCTAGTTACGATCTCAACACCATCTTGAGACTCCTTTATTTGGTGTTGGTATTGAGCTGTAGAAAATGTTACAGTCTTGGAGCAGGAGATCACTGTCTTAGAATAGGGGGCAAATATTGCTTCACTGGTTTGAAACATCCGCAACCAATTTTTGAATGAAATGCCCCAGCTTCCTAAATTGATTGAAGTCCTTTGTTATTGTATTCAGGGTGTTGATGTGAACCTGAAAAATGCAAGCGGTGAGACAGCACGCTCCCTGGCTCTCCTGAATGGTCACATGAAGATCATTGGTCTCATCGACAGCCAAGTGATGTTCCCCAGCAGTGTCCGCAGTGAATCAGGTACATGTACCTCCAGGCTAATTTTGCTGGTCAGATTTGGAAGCCCTTGCTGTGTTATTGCCTCATTAGTGAGCAGGTGGCAGTCACACATTATGTGCTGCTTTGACAAATGGGGCATTGTAACTTGCAGAAATGTATGTGAGGCTCAAGTTCAAGAGAGTTTGTGTGAGTGTAGTTCATTCCCTCGAATCAGTCAGGATACTTTAAGTGTGGTTGGTGGGTCAGTTTGTTTTAAACTGTGTGTTCATCTTGTTTTTTTTTTTATCTCAGGTCAGCCTCCAGCAGTGGATTTGTCATCGTCCGATGAAAGCTATCAACGACCCAACCGACCCCATACGAGGTCAGGCAGGTCGAAGGCCAAGGGTCCCAGCATCCGGGATGGCCCAGAGACTCTGGCCAAGTTGCTGAGCGAGCGCAAAGGAGGAAGGCAAGGAACTGTCTTACAGAGTACCGGTGAGGTTCAGTTTCACTCTTTGAGAGTTGTTCTCAGGAATGGTACTCAAGAAGTATGTGTTATGTTACACCCTTGTACATTGGGCCACTTGAGTGGGGTCTGGACATGTATGGTTTGTAAACTTTAAGTTATTGAAAGTTGAGGAAAAAAGGTTTGTTATTCGAATAGTTGCTGTGAAATGTACTAAACTCTTTGCATTTTGGTCTTGGCTCCATTATGGCCCAGGCCATTTTTATTGTGGCCACTTTACATTTTGACCACTTCACATTTTGAACGTCTGTCGAATCCAACCTAACGTTCAATGAAGTTGGTCATTTTTGCAATCATTTTTAGGATATTTACTCTCCCAAATTTTCAGCAGGGGTGTCATATGTAGCTAGTGGTCATAGAATTCTGATCTTTATTCTTCTGGATGCCTTCTGTTCATACATTGGTGGTGGCCACTTTAAATCATTAAGCTTGTCCATTGTTCCCCTGCTTTGGTACATTTCGTCTGCTGCTCATTTTGTCCACCCATCCTTTTGGCCATTATTCAATTTGGTTTTAAGCTCCTATCATAGTCTCTGCATAGACCGGCCTGTGTTTGCTCTTTATTCTACTGAAGCTTGACGTGAATTATATCCCCAACTCCATGCAGGGAATGCACTGCCAGGTGACTATGTAGCTTACCAGATAGAAGAGGACCACCTAAGTGGCCACCAGGTACAGGCAAGTGGACGAGATGTAGTGCCGGCTACCGTGACAGACACACCAAAACTCTCTGGTAATGGTAGGTTTATATGTAATACTTGCAATATTCATTCTTGAAAGCCAATGTTGTTCCGCGTCTGCCATATTTATAAGCAGAGAAGCAAGTGTGAGATGACTTCAAGGAATTTTAAAGTTGGAATTCTTCATAATGAAATGTGGATTTTGAGACAAAGCTTTCAGATATTTTCAGCATAAAAATGATAAATGACGTACAATTATTATTGTTAGACTATGGTCGTAGATAGTCAATTTTTTGGTCGCATGATCACACGACACGCTACAAGCGTGCATGTATCATTGGAGTATCAAGTGCATTGGCAATGTTGCTGAGCTACAAAAATGATGGATAACAGTGACCTTCCCCCAGTTGATGTGTCGTGTCCACTGCGTTGTAATTGTGTAATCTTGGGTATGAGGATGGATGGCTGTGGTGGTACACTAAGTTAGTTATTGTAGATGTGCTGCGTGGGGACATTGAAGCATTGTGTGCATTCGCATGTGCTACTCTCACTCTGACCATGACGGAGACCAGATCCGTGGGGTATTAGACTTCTGTTCGTGCTCCCAGCTGTACTCGTGGCACAGGGGTAGGCTCTGATCACTGTTTTTGCTGCGATCAGCGTTGTTGTTATAAATCACTCATGTCATTGTATCTTCTCATCTGCTCTTCTATGTTGTCAGTACTTTTCAACAGAATTAACGTAAATGATGTTTTGAAATTCAACCAGTTTACAAACACCCTGGTGCTTTATGAATCCCAGTTTTCTCTAGAAAACCAGTTTGCTATGAATTCTAGATTACTCCCTTGTCCTCCACAAAACAAAAAACTGATGAGCGAGGGTGAGAATGCTAAATTGGACTGAAACCTTGGAAGGAGATATAGAAATCATTTTTAAATTAACTTAAAAGTGTGAATATCTATCACATCGTCCAATTTGGTTGGGCCACTGTGTCAAAGAGGGTGTTCCAACATAAAGATTTAACGTTACATCCGACATACCAGATCTTCGAACTCCAATATTTTTCCGGTATAAATTGACTGAAAACATAACAACCAACATGTATGTTGCTAGTTTGTTGAATTTGAACCTGCGGTATGGTTGCCATGTAAGATAAACTGGCAACTGTCAATGCATTTTTTGCTGTTTGTGGAAAAGGAATAGGACATACAAGTTTCACCACGGAATTATCATCAATAATGGCACTGGACGGGTCAACTTTGGCTCACAAATTGGTTCCAGCATGTTTTTGAGAAGCCTGAATAATTTACTTTCATACGACTTGTGAATACCTGTATCATGAAAGAAAGTTGTAGACAGCTACTCTGAGTCACTGCTGTTTAATGTTCTTTGCAGGCAACACATGGCTGAGTCCATTCCCTCCTGCTGGCGTGGAGGCCAGTAATGACGATGACGACCCAGCCTTCTGCATCTCCGGTGCCCTGACCATCAAGAGCAGCAACTCTAGCAACAGCAGCGGAGGGGGTGGGGGTTTCGCTGCCGCTCTTGGGCTTGGCCAGGGTGGGGGCAGGGCTGGGGGTGGTAGGGGCAGCGGCTGCCACTCTAGCACCGACGAGCCATCCTCGGAGACCTCCAGTTTTAGCCTGCCCCCAACGCCAAGCTCCAACTCCTCAGAGGGCACAGGGGCCTTCGCAGTAGCGCTCTCTGACCAGCTGTCGCAGATGATCTCAGCCGACCTGACCCGGCAGGGCTTTGGGTTGGTTGGAGATCCACTCTATGCAGAGCTGCCGACTGTCGGCAGCGCCGGGATAGAAGATCATGGGATACAGGCCTCATCGCTGAATGTGCCATCTCTAACCGGTGCACTTCATACTTCTCACCCTCGCTCATCACAGTCAGCTGCCCCAACCATAGATGCCTACACAGCAAATGGCATTGGGTACCATTCCAGTGTCCTTCCCTTGTCAGGTGACTTAACCCAGGACACACTCTACAGTAGACCTGTTGATAACAAGCACTACCCTTACCAGGACCTTGCTAGTCTTCTTGAGAGTCTGGGATTGAGGACTAAGTACTTCCATATTTTTGAAGAGCAGGACGTGGATTTGAGAGTGTTTCTTACCCTCACAGATAGTGACTTGAAAGAAGTTGGTATCAAGTAAGTTAACACTAGTTTCATCAGCTTCCATCTTGTTATTTTTGTCACAAAAAGAGTTTAAATGCAGAAACGGCGATGTTTTAAATAGCAATGTTGATGCTGTCGAATCTTGTTAATAAGAGCACTGTTAACACAAGATTCTGCTTAAGGCAAGGAAATTTTTAGGCCCCAATCCTTTGTTTTTTCATTCCTGATAATACATTACAAAGTTCCTGCTCTAACAAGGTAGTTTGCCAAGTCCAAAGGACCTCTTAAGGAGGTTTGACTGTACTTTGGTGGAAGCCCACCTCTTTGCACTCTCACATTCGTATGCGTTTGGTTTGGGGTGCTCTGGGTTTTCATGACCAATTTCTATTTGAATGTATGACCTTCTAGTGCGTGCTGGTCACGTACAGGAGCCCGCCTGAAAGCTCCCCCAAAGCCTCTCTTTTTCTTTGCTTGTGAGGGTGCACTTCAACTTGAGATGGATTACATATTACACACTGCATAGGTCCATCTTTCCAGCACCTTTGACTGTTCACTAGACCGCTTTCTGCCCTGCACTAAGTAGAGGAGTACATTAGTACATGTATCTTGCTTTTTGACTAGATTAATGGGTCCACGGCGGAAGATGACTAACGCTATTGCTAGATGGCACAGCCAGGCTCGACCGTTCTCAGAAAACCTGGAGCAGGTCTATGCAGACAGAGTGGAGACTGCCATGCAGGAGATGGCCATACAGTTGCAGGAGGTACATGTACATATATAGCTGTCCCATTGATTACCCATTGGGTGACTCAACCTGAATGAGTAATAAGTCCCAACCCCTGCTTTGCCACATCTTCCAAATTACTTAAAGTTTTGACAGTGAATTTGGGGTCTAATCCTCCTTACTTGGGACCCTAATGCTTAAGTACAAATGACACAGCTACTGTTACATGGACAACTTGGCCGGGCCAAAGGTGTGTGGTGAGGAAAATGGGAACACTATTCTAAAGAGACAGTCTTTGTGACATTGGAGAGAATAAGCAAATAATTTACACATAGCCCGGGGGGGATCAAACCAAGAACCACAGTGGTAAGAGAAAATGCTTTACATGCTTATACCTGAAGCAAACACCCATTTCTGCATAAACATTATTACAGTAGCATGGTGGGCCCTCGCACACTCTAGTAAGTACCTGGCAGATCCCTGGATACCCAAATGGAGGTGATAAGTGGCACCGTCCGTTGCCTTTCTTGATTAAAGCTTATCTTCCTGACTTGCAAAAAGCTCATCTTGACAACCACCATCACTACCTCTTCTTCGCTCTTTCATCAGAACCATCTCTCTTTGGTCACTCTGATAGGCAAGTGACCCTTGACCTTTTTCCTCCTGCAGGCCATGGTCAAGAAGGGAGAGCTGGAGGCCCAGGTGATGCAGGAGAGGGAGCTGAGGAGCGTGGTGGAAGGCTGCCTAATGGAGGACCGCAAGACCTACCAGCAGCTTCTAAGCCTGGTATCTGACGCCCGCAAGCTTTGCCACAACATGAGGCAGCTGTACGACAGTGTCAGGTACGATTAAGCTGCTGGTAAATTAGTGGTCTATTACTGGAAATTATCATTATGTTATTAAGCATTTCTGTATTGAAACCAAGGATCCCTCGAAAGCACCTGAGACACTGTAGCTTGTAAGCCTGATAAAACCTGTCGGGAGTGGGACATTGAAAAGCAGTTACCATTCTTGAGGAGAAAAAAAAGCCAGAGGAATGGTCTTGGTAAAACCCACAGAATCGGTTAGGGACTGAAAACCCCATCCATATGTGTCCGACCAAGCGGGCTACCTGGACTGCAGAGGTGAAAAGCAAAGAAAGAGCCACTAAGCCAGGCCAACTAGAATACATATGTTCATAGGAAATGCATGAAGCCCCTACTTGGTGGCTTTCATAGGCACCTGTCCTGTTCTGGCCACAGCCAGATCCTTTGCACATGCTTATTCTCCTGAAGTCCTTCTTTTCAACCTCATACACCGCACCCCACCACACCACTCTACATTGCACTACATTGCGTTACATTACAAACTATAGCTTCTTTCACAGCGCTTTACATCACTATCGAAAAAAGAATAATGATATTATGGTTGATTTAATTTCTGAACGAAAAGTACGGTTTGCAGGTTTTGTAGAAACATCTTAAAAAAGGGAGACAGACAAATGTATCTTGGAAGCTCATTCCAGAGTCTAGGAGTAAATGCCTGGAAAGCATTGCCAGTCTTCAGCTGTGGTATATGTCAGAGGAACATGCAGCAGGGCACTGTCTGTACTAGAACAAGGACCAGGACGCATAGACTGATGTGGAAGGATGAGAGAGTTAATGTAATCTGGAGCTTTGTTTTGGATACTCTTGAAGACATTAGTCAAGATCTTAAATTTGATGCGTTGCTTGACTGGAAGCCAGTGCAATTCTCTTACCTGAACAAGACACTGAACAAGTGCACTTGCTTTCACACGTATTGTAAAAGTCGGCACTGCCAGGCAACACTATTCCTTTTTTTCACTGTTGATTTGTTTTATGTTAGGGCAAGTTCAGGCGTAAGCTAGAGTTCAACCACGACATACCGTACAGTTACATTTGAATGGCCCTAGTTGAATTAAATTATAAAAGTCATTACTCACATTTTGCTTCTTGTGGCATGCATTGTCAATGACATTTTCGCATGACTTAATCCCTGTACTGATAAATGAAATTACATGTAGCTGTTGCCAACCAGCTGTGTCAACATATGCCCCG